TTGAGTAAAGTTACATGTAGGTTTACTTGACAGGTTAAGAATAGCCCTATAGTTTAATCAGCAAGCAGTTGCCTTTAACTTTACTCAGAGGTGAAAAGACTGCCCTATATGTAGTATTAAATAATTCACAGTCTAAGTGAAGCTTATTGTAAATGTGGCACATAAGGTCAATAAATGCTATTTGCCCATAGTTCGTTCTGTGTCTTCTGATAAAAAAATAATGAAGTATGACGTGTACGTTCAGTGGGTGCCAAAAAAGTAACTAATTGTAAAAGGACACTACAGTCGATCTTATCGTCAGTTCATTTAAAGAAAACATGCTTCCTTCTGGTTTCTAGGCTTTGCACGCCACATAAAAATAGTATACTTTTGTAACTCACAATTTGTCAGGGAAACTGGTGTTTAAACAACAAATAATTAGGGATTGTATCGAAGTATATTAAACGTTGAGTAGCGACAGCTGGGGAACCGAATTCTAGTGCGCCGACGCGAAATAGAGAGGCGAGACGTCTTCTAAAGATGTAAACAACCCCTTTCACTTTAGTCCGGCAGCTGATATAGGAATTCGTTGTTGTGGATTTATTACTGCTTTTTTATTGTATTTTTGTTAGGATTTTTTGGGGTTTTGTGGGTTTTTCATTATGCCAGAAAATGCATGTACTATAAGTGATATATATTTTTATATTTACTAGATAAGTTAAATACTCATAAATATAAAACTGCCTAATGACCAAACCTTTATTATAAATGTAAACTACAAAAGAGTTTTACTTCAAATTACGTCGAGCAGTGTAAACATCACAGTTAAAACCAGTTCATAATTCGAGCAGTGTTTTACTGTGTCGTTCCGTCAATAACGTCAAAAGAGAGAGAAAGAAAATTTGCACCACCCAAGATCAAAGGCACCGACGCTTTATGTCGCTACTCAACGGTTAATATACTTTGATTGTATACTTAACACGTTCTGCCTCTCTATGTAGCAGGTACAATTGGGATTTTTTGGATAATAAAATTCAATTAAATACAAGATACCACTGAAATCTGACATCTGTTTTGATTTTCAGAAGGAAGGTCATAGCAAAAAATGCTCATAATGAAATTTTTGTATTGATCTAAAACCATTTAATATTGGTTTACGATTTATTTTAATGTTTTACAACTTCATGAATATTCGCTAATTCAAGGGAATTATTGTAAATAAGTTGTAAAATTAATATAACCTTCCTTTTGGGTCCTACTAGTCAGTTATTATGGCTTTAACAAACAAATACTAAGAAATGGTTGCAACAGTCATTAAATATTCAACGTAGACGACGACGAAGTGTATCTATAATATATGTACTATGTACCATGATTGTACTGCGTCCAACTGAAAATAGACCGAAAGAAACTGAACGACCTCTTTAAACTTTGCCAGGGAGGTAGCATTCTATCTACTTATCATGACTTCTATCAAAAAAAGTTGGGATCTGAAGAAGGTCCTGTTAAAAAAAACAGCGGTTTAGAAACTGATGAAGTCAGGAAATGGAAATAATTAAAGTGTTCATTGATTTTGTAACTCGTAAAGTTAATTTTTCAGAATTTTTTTGTGACAAGAATGTTTTGATTTTTATTTATTTTTAACGTTAGCTCGAATAAAAATTTTGAAACTTTTTTCTGAGCAGGAGAATGGTTGAAAAATCATCAAAAATTAGTCAAAATTCAGAAATAAATATATTTAGTTTTAATGTAGGCTTTAAAAGATGCTATACAAAAATATTTATCTTTGTAATAAGTGTTCGAAATGTGTGTGAAGTTGTACAAAACTATAAATAACATTTTTTATCTATGGATTGATAAAAAAACGTTTTTAAAACTTAGTCAAAAAGTAGATTCTTTACTCCAAACAAAGCTGCGAAGTTACTCTGGAATAAAGTGTAATAGGCGACTAATTTAGAGCGAATCCACAAAATAGTACTGTGTTTTCAGAGTTGTCAACAGGTATAGAAGGCTTAACTCTTTTGGGGTCCAACCTCTCAATCAAGCCCGTGGCGTCACTGTCGTCGTTTATATCGACAAAAACAAACAAGTTGCAGCAGCTCGGAATCAGTAGCGTGTATCTTAAATTTATTTTGTTTGTGATGTTTGTATTATGTAGTTATTGTTATTTTTTTAGAATTATAGATATTTGTTGACACTTTTTATATAGTAGTTGTTTTCCAGTGTTAATTTGTTAACTTTTAAGTGTTTTACTATGTCTGGGCAAAGTTGTGCAGCAAAAAACTGTATTAAAAGATTTTTTCGGTTTCTTAAAGATCCTATTAGATAGGTATGTATGGTATACTTTTAAAAAAAACCTAGGTTATGGGTCAGTTTGTCAGTTTTTTTTGTATCATCGGCTTCAACTGCTAAGGATATTTCGCCTCGTGTTCTGTGTAGGCTTTGTTACTGTTTCCCAGCGCCACTTTAGGAACAGCACTGTTAATTAGAACCTAACAGTGAGTGGTCGAGTGGGAAATCCTACCAAGGCATCAGAATTAATTTTAAATAATTAAATTAAATGAAAAAATATCCTTCCTCCATGATGGTAACTGTGTAAACCTTACATCGGTCCAATTTCAAAGGACATTCAAAACATTGCAATGTTTAAATTTATTACATTCTGGAACTGAAAACTGCGAAACAGGTGGGGATGCTTTATTTGTAAGGCTACATGAAATTCCTAGGTCTAGTAAGGATGAGCCATTTTACAAAATCGCGTGTAATGGTGGCAATATTGTCGAAAATGTAAATATAAACAAGCATATTAATGAATTGCATGCACAAAATATTAATATTTTTTAAGAAAATTTTATTATATATGCGGATATTTAATAAAAAAATGTCTTAAAATTCAACCTTGTGATGTATGTACACAATATGCCTTATCACACGAAGACTTGGATACAAGCTCCATGTATTGTTATTATAAAGCATACAAAAAAGCAAATGAAGATATTTTTGGCAATTTAAAAATATCAAATAATAGTTTTGTATGTTTAATAACAAAAATTGAAATAATTTTTCAACACAATTTTGAATTATTTGTCACTAAATCCGGCGTTTTTTTTTTAGATTAAATTAATTCCGTGATAACATTTGACGCTCCTTGTCCCCGATTTCCATAAATATATGTTATTAAGGGTCGATTATTCCACCGTTGTGTTAAACGGAGATTAAAATGACATTGGTGGAATGACAACGGTGGAATCGGTCCTAAGTTATATGTAAGGCTGCTCATATATTACATTTTAAAAATATTAATAGAAATTTTAAGACCATCAATGTGTTATTCGGAGACACATAGTCAGACGAGCCCAGGAAAAAAAAAAAAAAAAAAAAAAGACCATCAATAAAAACAAGCTAATTATTTGGCGCAATCTGTAGAGCTTTTTTGTTTTAATACGATCCTGCCTATCAACACAAAATATTTAAATACGCTTTAATCCGACCCTGACTAAGACCCCCGAATGGCGTCGCCAAGGTCAAATTTGTATAATTTTTGTATGCGATCAGCGGCAAGTGAGCCTGTCGATTGTTTCTTATGCCGTGTAATGAGTTTGTTAGTAGATCAAAAAACTATTACCTTTTAATACATCATGCCCTCCCAAAAGATATTCCAAACCTATATTTCTTTACTTCTAGAACCTATTCTACCATTATAATGCGACTTAAACTAAATCACGGACGCTTTCCTCATCACCTAAACAAAATAGGAATTTTAAAGAATCCCTACTGTCCTTGCGACAATTCAAGTATTGCAGACTTGAACCACCTATTCTTCCTCTGTTTTAATAATAATAATAATAATAATGCTATAATACAATTAATATCTGAGCTAAAAAACTTTAATATATTCTTCCCACTTGACCCATATTACCACTCTTCTTAATAGCTTTGACAAGAACATATATGACCTATTAGTATAATTTATATATTAAACAAAAATAGTTATATAATATATTGTAATAATACCATAAACAATCTGTGGCAAATGTACTTTGAATCCGATGCCAACCCTCACCCAACACACACGCAACAAGAAAATTTAATATAAAAGTGTTAAAATTTTCTGACACATAATCTATTGCAAGACATTTTCTTGAAATTAGGATTTTGTGGCTAGGCACTCTTAACATAGCGACGAAATATATATTTTATGTTTCTATAAATGACATTAAAAATTTATTAAAAATATATTTTTCTTCTATAAAATTGTTATTAATGAATAAGAAATCTTTTAGTTTATTAAAACAAAAATAAAACCTGAATCGATACAAATTCATTGAAAATATTGCTAGAACTGGGAACGTTTTTATAAAAAAATTTAATGTTACTATTGCTACAGTTAATTTATTTTATCCTTTTATTTAAATGTAAATATGTTATATAAATGAAATTAATGTCACCAGTCAAGGTTTTAAGGCCTCGTCACTTCAACCTTTGTTTTGGATGCATTTTTCTTTAAATTTGTCCTTGTCAAAATATTTACAAAAGAATCCTTTAGAGAGACCACAACTGTCAAAAATTCGTAGTTACTGGTTTCAAACAAACCTATGTTAAACGGCGTCCGTTAGTTATCTATATTTCATTTGTTTATTTGAGGAATATACCTATTAAATATTGAAAAAAGTAAGTATTGATTCAAATCTCAACTCAAAAGAGTACAAAGAAAAAGTAATCGCAAAAAATTAACAGGCAAACCACTTCATTGATTTTATAATAATTACAAGCATAATAATATGTATAACAACTAGACCACTTGCAATTTCTAAGTGACTATTACATACACACAAAATAAAAAGAAACCACAATCTACGACTGTACAACAACATTCGTTTTCAACACTTTTTAGCCAAACGAACCAGATTCACTGTCTTTAAAAATAATTACGGCCGACCGACAGAAGAAATTTTCATTCCTCGACGGAATAAAAGTATACGCAGAGCAGGTGGGTATTGAAAAATTAACACATCCTCGACCCATGATAGGGTTTTGTAGGTCAGGTACCCACTGATGCGCAGAACAGTGTATTGCTCGCCACGGAGAGAATTCTTAGGAGGTCACTCGATGAAAAGAAAGGTCAACCAGTGCCAAGATATAGTATAAAACAAGAAACAAAGATCGGGATGATGATCAGTACGTTTTTGTCGATCAGTAGTGCAACGGGGCACCGCGAAAAAATGAGAAAATTAGTGTTAGTGTTGTTTTTTGTGATCGGTGCTTATGCACAGGAAAGTTTCGAAAGCACAGGTGTACGATTAGCGTTGAAAATATACGATGATTGTTTAAAATCCGATGGATTATCGCCGTGTTTGAAGAAAAAAGCCATCACTTTCCTCGACAGATTGGGCCGTATGGATAAACTCACCCTTTCCGAAGGAGTTATCGTACAAAAAACGCCCGACGCACCCAAAGAAGGACCCGTCATCACTGAAGAACAATTAGATCAAACCCTTCCGAGATCTTCAGACGCCAAAGATGCAGCCCTTACCGACATGCTCATGGACAAAGTCAGCAATTTCATCGGTTCAAGATCAATCGAAGTCGCTTTACCAAAAATTCCCGCAGCAGACTTGATCGAAGAAGGTAAATAATTTCCAAAAACTTTTTTTTAATAATAGTTTTAACAGTATTAATTTTTTTGCAGGACGTAAAGGCGGCGGTGGTGGTGGAGGCGGCAAAAAAGGCGGCATGAAAGGAATGATGGGCGGCATGATGATGGGAATCGCAGCAAAAATGGCAGCACTAGTTCCTCTAGCAATCGCTGGACTATTTCTGCTAGCCGGTAAAGCTCTAATCACAGCCAAAATCGCTCTACTCATCTCTGGAATCATCGCTCTCAAGAAACTCTTCGCAGCCAAACAAGGAGGCGGTGGAGGTGGTCACGGAGGCGGCGGTTGGCAATCCGGTGGTGGCGGCGGTGGAGGCGGATGGCAATCCAGCGGAGGCGGTTGGGACAAGAGATCGTACCAGGAAGCTCAAGCTCAAAATTTGGCTTACAACGCGTTTAGCCCAAAATAAACCATACGATTTAGTCACTAGATAATATTTTTTGTACAAATGAGTTTGACCGATTTTTTGGTCACTGTTATCTGTTTTTTTCTTCTACTTCTTCTTTCTATGACAGTTTGGACGACTGACATTTTATTGTACGAGACGTTACAGTTTCTTATTGTTGTTGTTAAATTATTTATTGCAAATATTTATTTAATTTATTTGACTTTTGTGACTTACTTGACACTGACTTTGTTACCATACATTTGTTTCCAATGAAAAGAAAATAAAGATTGTTAAAGAAATACGTATTTTTTTTCTACAAACTTTTTTATTTATTATAAAATAAATAGATACAATTAAATATAATAAAAAGGTATTATAACTATTATATAATTATAGTTATAAGTTAACATATTAATAAATATTATGCAGATTTCGTAATACATTACTAAGAAAGGTTTTAATTCATAACTGCAAAAATTATTTTGATTCCTAAAATTTTGTTGAAGTAATTTGGGAATAATATAAAAATTCAAAAATAATATCGTACTATTTAAAACATCAAAATTAAAACAGGAAAAAATGTAAAAAGTTTGTTTACAAATCAGTTTTATTACTATAAATTGAAGAATTGAAAAATTTTGATAACAAAAAATATTTGTTTGTGTCATCAGTTTCTATAAAAAAATGATACAATTATGTAAGAATAAAATCGTTTTTGAAAATTTTTAAATATTTATAATTGGCTGATTCTACAAATGAAAATAAATGTAAGTTATCAATTATAAATTAAATGATAATTAACAGAAAAAAACAATAAGTCTTACTAGATGTGAAAACTAAAATGATATAAAAAACTTTCTTTACCCAAATTTATAGAATAAAAATAAATGTATTTGTTCTAATCTAGTAATCACTTTCGTTCTTTTGTTCCAAATTCTACACAGACGCCAAATGATTTTTAAGTGGCGTATTTTCTCATCGAAAACCATATTTTTAATGATTGCAGCATTATAATTGGATTCTCGAAATTTTAGGATTTTTCGGGTGGGGTCCCCCCCTTAAATGCGTGCCTGACAAATTCACCGTGGGTGTCACGCACGGTATAAAACCACTAACAAATTTTGAAGGATCATCAGTTCGTTTTTGCCAACAGATGTGCAACGTGACAATGAAAATCATAGTGTTAGTGTTGTTTATTGTGTTCGGTACTTATGCAGAAGACAGTTACGAAAGTACCGGTTTACGGTTAGCGTTAAAAATTTACGACGATTGTTTGAAATCAGATGGATTATCGCCGTGTTTAAAGAAGAAAGCCATCACTTTCCTCGACAGATTGGGCCGTATGGATAAACTTTCCCTTTCTGACGGAATTGTAGTTCAAAAAACCGATGACGCAACCAAAGATGGACCGGCTATTACCGAAGAAAAATTAGATCAAATTCTACCGCGATCTTCTGATGCTAAAGATGCAGCCCTCACCGATATGCTTATGGACAAAATAAGCAACTTTATTGGATCCAGATCGATTGAACTCGCTTTACCGAAAATTCCTGCAGCAGAATTTATAGAAGAAGGTAATGAAAAATTTTTTACTATTTTCTTAAATTGATTTATTGACACTTCTTTTATTTCCAGCGCGCAAAAAAGGCGGTGGAGGAGGAGGAAAGAAGGGTGGAAAGAAAGGTATGATGAATGGTATGATGATGATGATAGGAGCCAAATTAGCAGCTCTAATTCCTATAAAACTAGCTGCTCTATTCCTGCTGGCGAAAAAAGCCCTTATTATAGCTAAGATTGCTTTACTTATATCTGGAATTATCGCTATCAAGAAATTGCTCGGATCCAAACAAGGAGGCGGCGGTGGTGGAGGACATGGAGGCGGCTGGCAGTCGGGAGGTGGTGGAGGCGGATGGCAATCTGGAGGCGGCGGCGGCGGGGGCTGGCAATCCAGTGGAGGTGGCTGGGATAAAAGGTCCTACGATGAAGCGCAAAATTTAGCTTACAATGCACATAGTCCAAAATAATTAAATTTTAGTCATTAGATAATATTTTTGTACAAATAATTGTGTAAGATCGATTTTTTGATCAAGTCAGTGTTGATATAGTTTTCTTTTACAACTGATAAGTGTGGAAACGTTAGAGTTTCTTGTTATTGTTAAATAATTTATTGCATATATTTATTTAAATTATTGTTTGTCTCATTGCAGGTTATATGTTGCCATATATTTTTGTTTCCTTAAAAAATAAAAATAAATGTGTTTTAATAAAAAATATGAATTTTATTTTTGTCAATCCATGTTTCTAGATCAAATTGAATATAGAAAAAATAAATTTATTACAAAATTTTATCTACTATTTTATTATAATAAAGAAAGTGTTAATATTAAGAACCCTTTCAATTTTTAATATTTTAAAACAGTTGTTTTATAATTCAAAGAATACAAAATCATAATTCATAATTTTACAATAAATTTAAATATTATTCTTAACGTAATTTAATGAATAAATAATAAGAATTAACAAAAATAATTTAAAAAATATACATTTTGGAAAGATAAAAAGTAATCTATAACTACCATATTTAAGGCGAATAAATCAAAAATTAAAATCAGAACAAAGAAAAAAAAATTAAAAATATTCATTAAATGAAGATATTTTAATAAAAATAAAATTAATCTATAATCACCATATTTTTTACAATTAAATTTAAAATACAAGCAAACGTTCTCTTAAAAATAAAAATGCATTACTAAAAAAATATAAGAAGCAGACAATTTCCAAAATATAAAGATATTAATGAACAAATTAAAATAATAAATACCAACAAAGATTTTATTTATCTAGGCACAATCAGTAGGTCCTGTTCTTAATAGTAAACAAACGTTCAATATAATAAACCTCAGCAACTCTGGGACAATGAATTTATGATTGACCTCTTTACCGCAAGAAGAGAGAAGGTTATTTTCATATTCATATTTTTGTCTTAATATTTGTGGGGGTACCCCCCAAAAATGCGTACATGTTTAATGACTGTTGGTGTCACGACAAGCTATATAACCCGAAACGAACTTTATGGTTGCCATTAGTTGGTTTTCGAGTATCAGAAGTGCTAGTTGTATACCGTGTGATAATGAGGAAATTAGTGTTGGTGTTATTTTTTGTGATAAGTGCTTTAGCACAAGACAATTTCGAAAGTTCGAGCGTTCAATTAGCTTTAAAAATATACGATGACTGTTCGAAAATGGATGGACTATCAGTGTGTTTAAAGAAAAAGGCTGTAACTTTCATCGACAGATTGGGCCGTATGGATAAACTTGCTCTTAGCGATGGAATAGTAGTTCATAAAACAGCAGATGCACCCAAAGATGGACCTGCTGTTACAGAAGATCAACTAGATCAAACTCTACCAAGATCTTCAGATGCCAAAGACGAAGCCCTCACAGAAATGCTCATGGATAAAATCGGCAACTTCGTTGGATCCAGATCAATTGAAGTCGCTTTGCCAAAAATTTCGGTAGCAGAACTTATTGAAGAAGGTAAAAATTAACTAAAATAGTATATAATTGTTTATACATGATTTTTGCAGAATATTTCTTTAAATAGGCATTATGTTTTTATTTTTTTCAATAAATTAAGTGAAGATATTAAAAACATGGCAATTCACTTTAAAAATAAGACATAATTTAGATTTAGAGCAAGATGAAGAAAAGTCAGAATGCTCTATTTTTTAGGAAAATATATCAATTATTTTAAGGCTATACTCATTAATACACAACGCTTGCAAAAATTAGGACCTTTATAACCAAATAACAATTATACCTACCATTTAATAAAGTACAGATACTTCCGTAAGTGGATTATGTGGACAGCACCAGCAGTAGTGAAAATTGGGATAACAACGAAAATTAACATCAGTAATACTCCAAATAATACACGAGAGTAGGAATATATCTAATGTAGGTATAGTGGTTTGCTCTACAGAAATGAATAATCAGAATTGGGGATACTAAATAAAAAAAAAAACAGCAGAGAAACTATAGAGATGATAAAGGAAAAATGGAACAAGGAATCAAAGATGAAGAATAAAATGTAATAAAAATATGTTGAAGATCAAAAAGCAAATGGACAGAAAAGAAAATAACTCTTATAAAAGTTATTAGGATACGATAAGTGAAACGGCTGGTAAACGTTGTGTTAAGAAAAATAGTTAGACGAAGTGTCAGAATATCTGAGCCAACTAGAGATATGGACTGAAAGATCAAAATCGTTAATATTAAACAAAATAGAAGTCACAGACCAAAGATGTGATAAAAAAATTAAAAGTTAAAGAAAATTAGAGAAATAGGACTAAAAAAAATAATATAACCAATTATTACTTAATTATACTGATTTTTACTAATTTTTATTAAGTTTTACGCATTTTTACTCTTTTTTACTCATGTTTACTAATTTTTACTCATTTTTATTTATTTTTACTTATTTTTAACTATTTTTACCCATTTTTACTCATTTTTACTCATTTTTACTCATTTTTACTCATTTTTACTCTTTTTTATTCATTTTTACTCATTTTTATTCATTTTTACTCATTTTTACTAATTTTTACTCATTTTTACTAATTTTTACTCATTATTACTCATTTTTACTCATTTTTACTAATTTTTACTCATTTTTACTCATTTTTACTTAATTTTACTTATTTTTATTCATTTTTATTAATTTTTACTTATTTTTACTAATTTTTACTCATTTTTACTCATTTTTACTCATTTTTATTCATTTTTACTCATTTTTACTCATTTTTACTTAATTTTACTTATTTTTATTAATTTTTATTAATTTTTACTCATTTTTACTCATTTTTACTCATTTTTACTCATTTTTACTCATTTTTACTCATTTTTACTCATTTTTACTCATTTTTACTCATTTTTACTCATTTTTACTCATTTTTACTCATTTTTACTCATTTTTACTCATTTTTACTCATTTTTACTCATTTTTACTCATTTTTACTCATTTTTACTCATTTTTACTCATTTTTACTCATTTTTACTCATTTTTACTTACGTTTACTAATTAGTTACTTATTTTTATTCATTTTTACGCATTTTTGCGCATTTTTACTCATTTTTGGCTGAAAAAGAAAAAGTGGTCAGGCAAAGTCTTGTAAGATCTGATTAAAATACTTGAAAAAACTGCAGTAAGAAAAATGGTAAAAAAATGTAAAAATTCGTTAAAGTCATGAAAGAATAAATGTACCTGTATATCTAGAAGCCATGGGCTCTTTTAATTTTCGATTTTTTTGAACATTTTGGCTTCTTTTTATTTACATTTAAATATTTTATACCGTACAAATAAATTGTTTTGTAATAGTAGTTTAATAATATTTAATTTATTTTCTAGGCCGCAAGGGTGACTTCAACTTCGGCGGAGGCGGTGGAGGAGGCAAAGGAAAGAAGAAAGGTGGCAAGAAAGGCGGTATGATGGGCGGCATGATGATGCTAATGGGAGCAAAAATGGCAGCTCTAATTCCTATTTTTATCGGTGGATTGTTCCTCCTAGCTAAAAAAGCGCTGATAACAGCTAAAATTGCTCTCCTGATATCCGGGATCATCGCTATCAAGAAACTGTTCGGATCCAAAAAGGGAGGCGGTGGAGGAGGCGGACACGGAGGCGATAGCGGCTGGCAATCTGGAGGAGGAGGCGGAGGTTGGCAATCTGGAGGAGGCGGCGGCGGTGGAGGCTGGCAATCAGGAGGCGGCGGAGGTGGCGGCTGGGATAAAAGATCCTACAATGAAGTACAAAGTCTGGCTTACAACGCCTACAGCCCGAAACAATGAAACCTATTTACTTAATAACTATTTTTGTACAAATGTGTTTTGTTCGATTTTGTGACAGTTGTGATGACTGACATTAACAGAAATGATAGAGTTTCGTGTTATTTTTAAATTATTTATTGCAGATATTTATTTAAGTTATTTTTTGTGAGTGTTTTTTTTTTTCAACAGCTACTGTGTTGCCATTTGTTTTTTATTAAAAATATAAATAAAAATGTTAAATAAAACTGAATTTTTTATATTAATTTTCCTTTTTCATATCGACCAAACTATATAATAAAACTACTCTAGAGAAAGCAAAACTAAAAAACTAGTAGATATATTATGTACTATGTTTGTTGTAATATAATTTCTCTCCAAAAAAAATTCATTTCTAAATATTTCTAAATAATATTTAAATAGTCAAATAAATGTAATTTTATGTTTTTCCAAAAATATTATTAAATAATTTAACAGTAATTTTTAAAAAGTAAAAAATAATTAAATGTCAAAAAAAATTAATTTTTTTTCGAAATATATTAATTTAACTCGTTTAAAAAAATTAATGTCTACTTTTAATGACCAAGTTGTCAAAATTCTGGATCAACGAATTTCTATTTTAAATGACATGGGGTGAAACTGACGTAAAATATATAACAAATATTAAAAAAAGGGATTTATAAATTAACCCTACACCCCCATAATAAAGTTTTAATTATATATTAAATGGGAGATTATAAGTGGTATGGGATGAACTGGGGTAAAATATTGAATATTCGAATAAAAAAGGGGTTAAAAATGACCCCCTATACTCCCTTAATTAAATGTATATTTTAAATGGCATGGGGTAAAACTAGGGTAAAAATATTTTACAAACGATCAAATAAAAAAGAGGTTAATAAATACCCCCAAACTCCCCGCATAATTTAATTGAATATAAAATGAGATCATTAGAAAAGCCTTTTAAATTATTCTGACCTAAATAAAATTATAAAATTTTAAAAGAGGAAATTTTTCTTTCAAATATTGTTATATTTGTTATTAAATTAATTAATAAAAACTATAGTATAGTTAGAATATTCGTTTTTTGGGTGATAATTGTAGATTTAGATTAAATATAATAAAAGAAACCATTAGGTACATATTAAAAATAGATACAGATTTATGTAGTTCAATCAAGGATGCACAATGGACCTAGTGAGGCCTAAATTCTGTGGGTTAATTCATCCTTTACACGTTACAGATATAGATCAAGTTAAATCACTAAATGAAAACGCAATTAATATCGTACAACGTTTAAGATGTACAAAAAAGATCATAAATGAAAGGCATATATTATAAATATGTCCTGTTTTTACAATAATTATGGTTAACCTCAAAAACGAATTTTAAAAAATTTGATTGACCTCTTATAACACTTTAAGGAATGTAGTTTCATTGTATTTTTCAATAAGTATTCTTGAGGGGTACCCCCCAAAAAAGGCTTACTTATCCTTGCCTGTGGGTATCAGTACATGGTATATAACAAGACAGAAATAGTGAGCGGGTCCTCAGTTTGTTGTTGTTTATTAGAAGAACCAAGTTTATACTATACTGTGTCATAATGAAGAAAACAGTGTTAGTGTTATTTTTCGTGATAGGAGCTTTTGCAGAAGACAGTTTTGAAAGTTCAAGTGTTCAATTAGCTTTAAAAATTTACGATGATTGTGAAAACGATGGATTAGGATTATCAGTGTGTTTAAAAAAGAAAGCTATCACTTTCCTGGACAGATTGGGTCGAATGGATAAACTTGCTCTTAGCGACTCAGTTGTAGTTCACAAAAATACAGATGAGTCTAAAGAAGAAGCTGAAATTACAGAAAATGACTTAGATAAAACGTTACCAAGATCTTCTGATGCTAAAGATGACGCTCTTACTGAAATGCTCGTGAAGAAAATCGCCAGCTTCATTGGATCAAGATCAATAGAAGTTACTTTACCAAAAATTTCTGCATCAGATCTTATCGGAGAAGGTAAAAAATAATGCTTTTTTTGTGAATTGAAGTTTGCTGTATGAATATAAAAAATCTACTGCTTAATGATAATTAAAAAGCTTCTTTAATATCGTTTTAATTTCATCTAAAATAGAATAAACAAAAAATTATTTTTGCATGTTAACTATTATTTTAGTAAAATTTATATAGATTATTATTTATTTAATAAAATTTGGCTTCAGTGCGATACTTCATAAGAATTCAGTTTCATATAGTATATTGTTTAACAAGTATACCAGGTGTCCGCACGAAAACTTTAAATGGAATTATTTCTGGTGTTTTAAAATATATCGACTTGAAATTTTGGAAGGTCATTAAGGAAGTAGGGGGTAAATTAGTAATGTATAAGATACCACTCCAACGTGATATCTGCCGCCCCCAGCGACCCCCGGTTCAAAAGTTTAAATGACACTCTGTATTTTTTTTTACATATTCTGAAAGAGCGTAGTTTTTTTAGTATCTCTATGTGAAAAAATTACTTAATTACATTATGAACTTTGAAAGATATTTACAGCTAAAGGTTCAGATACCAGATTTAAAAAAAAGAACTAGTAACCTTGGGCAGTAGACAAATTTCGAAATAATTAAAGCAGATAGAAACAAAAAAATCTAATTATCCAAAAAAATATAACTTATCACAAAAAAATACAACTTATCACAAAAATAGGCATTCTTATAGACCAACAAAATTTCGCTTTATAAACTAAAGTAAGGACTCTTTTTATTTTTTTAGTTAAATCAAATGTTCAAAATGATCACCGTTTACATTTAAACAATAGTACAGTCTATTCTCGAAAGCGTTTCGAATATTTTCAAAGACATGTGGTGTTAAATCTCTACATTCCTCTATGATTCTATTACGCAAATCATCAATGGATTGTGGTGGTATCCTGTAAACAACAGACTTCAAATGTCCCCATAAAAAGAAATCCAGTGGGGTCAAGTCTGGGGAGCAAGCTGACCATTCAATAGGACCCCTACGACCTATCCATTGTTCTGGAAAAACGGTATTTAAATATTGCCTTACTTCTAAAAAGTAATGAGGGGGAGCTCCGTCTTGCTGAAAGTATAACTGATCCTCCTGCATTTGATCTAAGTTTTCTTCCAAGCACTGAATGATAAGAGGATGTATTAATTCTTCTAAAAACTCGAGATATCTAGGCCCAGTTAAATTCTCGTGATAGAAAATTGGACCAATTATTTGGTTATTTAGAATTCCAGCCCATACATTAATTTTTTGGGGACGTTGCGTATAGCCTTCTCGGAAAACGTGGGGATTAACATCGCTCCAATATCGACAACTGTATCTATTTACGAAACCATTTATAGCCCAATCGGATTAGGTGAAGAACAGGCTTGAGATTCTGAAAAATTGGAAGCAGCAATTTTCCTTCGGAATTCGTTGGAGGGGGTCTGTGGTAGTCTAAATTCAAAAAGTTGGGATTCCAAAGTTGTCGTTACCTCCGCCAGCTTGATTTAAAGGGTTATTTTTTGTATCTTGAATAACTCATTTATTTTCAATTTTACACGGAAAATAGTTTTTACAAAAGTTATTTAAAATTAAATTTCCTACAATTCTGCTTTTTTTTGTACGATCGATTTTTTTGTATTTATCCCTGAGAAGAGTGGGGGTGAACCTAAGTATTGTATTGTCACGTTTATTATTGATGTTGTACCATTATTTTTTCTGTTTGTTTTTTTTGCTGATACCTGGAATTAAAAAGAAACGTGATAATACAATGATAAGAGTTTACCCCTACTCTTCTCAGGGATAAATACAAAAAAATCGATCGTACAAAAAAAAAGCAGAATTGTAGGAAATTTAATTTTAAATAACTTTTGTAAAAACTATTTTCCGTGTAAAATTGAAAATAAATGAGTTATTCAAGATACAAAAAATAACCCTTTAAATCAAGATGGCGGAGGTAACGACAACTTTGGAATCCCAACTTTTTGAATTTAGACTACCAGAGACCCCCTCCAAGGAATTCCAAAGGAAAATTGCTGCTTCGAATTTTTCAGAATCTAAAATACTAATCCGATTGGGCTATTAAGGAAAAGCAACTTTCGTCACTGAAACAAATATTTCGCAAAATATTTCAATTTTGCCGAATCATGCCTGTCATAGTTTCACAAAATTGGACTCTTCTATCGAAGTCATCGTCGCCCAACTCTTGATGAAGCTGAATTTTATAAGGATGCATTTTATTTAATTTTAGTATTTTATGGCACGTTGTTTTTGCCACTCCCGAAGCTTCTGATAATTTTCTAACTGAAAGCTGTGGGTCTAAATTTACGTGACCAAGAACTGCAACTTGCGTTGCTTCATCTCGTGCTCCACGATTATTCATATCACGTTTTTTATTATTTACCGATCCAGTTTCAAAAATTTTTTGTATTAGATTAATTACATAAACAGCAGATACATTTTTGTTGGGATGGTTTTCGTTAAATAATGCTGCCGTCTGCGAATAGTTTCTGTTTGCAATCCCATATAAAACTACAATTTCAGTTCTTTCTTCCAAACTGTAAACCATTTTTCTATTTTTTTTAGCTATTTAATTTAAAGTAAGTCAAATTTTTTCGAAAACTTTTGTACTAACGAGTAAACAAAAGTGTCACAAACAATATTATTTGGCAGTTCAAGCAACGAAGCAGCTTTCATGGCTTGCTATTATTTTTTGTTTTCGATATTTGAATATCTGGTATCTGAACCTTTAGGTGTAAATATCTTTCAAAGTTCATTATGGCATTAAGTAATTTTTTCACATAGAGATACTAAAAAAACTACGCTCTTTCAGAATATGTAAAAAAATACAGGGTGTCATTTAAACTTTTGAACCGGGGGTGGCTGGGGGCGGCAGATATCACGTTGGAGTGGTATCTTATACACTATTAATTTACCCCCTACTTCCTTAATAACCTTCCAAAATTTCAAGTCGATATATTTTAAAACACCAGAAATAATTCCATTTAAAGTTTTCGCGCGGACACCCGGTATAATGTAGATTATATTTTACTGTGTTATAAATATTTGAGTGTAATATGGTCCATTAAACACGAATTAAATGCTATACTTTATCTAGAACTGTATACATGGTGACCCACCGAAAAAAGAAAATGATTTTTGGAAATTCTATATTGTGAAATATGCGTTGTATTATGTTACCTCAGATACGCATATAATACATCCATATACAGAAAGCTGAAAATAAAAGTATTATAGCTGTAGTTTAATTTGCAGAACGTAGAACATGTTCAAGAGCTAGACATTTTATTTATATCTCATCCTTTAATTCTTATTTGCAGTTAAAATTAAAATTTTTAAACATCTGATCAGCCTACTGTAATAAAACTTTTCTTTTGACAGATAAGTTAGACTTTATTTATTTATAGCAGAATCGTATGTATTTTAATTGATTCGAAATTTTTTATTAGTATATATTATAATTTTAAACTTATATAAGAATGGCAAGTGCATTAAAACATATTGCAAGCACAAGTACTCGCAAACGATCTAGTGGGCATGAAGCATTATATTTAGAGAAATAAAATATCGTACTTTATTGAAACCGGGGTAGAGAATATAATAATTCTTTTTCTTTTGAAATGAAATTCCTACACTTCAAAAATTACACTCAGAAATAGAAGGTTTTTGATGAGTTGCTAACGCAGGACTTTGATAAACTAAAAAGATGTCTATATCTAGATATCTCTCAGCAAAAACAAGTGCAGGTTTTCAATAAGTTGAGAGGCATCCTCCAGGCACATATTCAAATTAGGCCGTGGTTTAAAGCCCACTCGTACTAAAGCTCCAGGCTTTTTGTACCCCTTACAGCTTCTATCCCATCACATTGATTTTTTTGATGAATTTCAGAATATGTCTGATGGGCGCTTTGGCGATTTCTTCAGGTTCCAGATATTGTATTCCAAAGTACCATTTTCTTTCTTGTTTAAGGTTTCGACAGTGGTATGTGCACAGGAGTTTCGTCCTTCTCTTTACATATTCTACATAGGGAGCCATAAGATGTCCCTAAGATATTAAGTTGCCTTCTAAGGCCGCAGTGTCCGGTAAGGAGTCCTATTACGGCCTTGCGTTCGCTTCTGCTAAGGTTTAAAAATAGATTGTGTCTGCTCGTGGATGGCCCCTCTGTGAATCATTTGGATTAGGTTCAGAAAGTTCCAGAGCCTATGGTGTTCTTTATTTGTTTGTTCCTTTATCACCCATTTAACATGTTGGTATAACATACCACACATGGGTTCTGGTCTCATAAGAGGGAATATTTCCTACTTTTGTAAGGGGTGCTCAAAACTCATATATTGATGTCACAATCTCCAACCCAATATCAAGAATTGTTTAAAACTGGCAGGTATGGAATGAAGAATCGCTCAGTTACCACAAATATTTTTTGTAGAAAGTGCCGCATATAAGAAATATAAAAATACAGTCCACTAGTGTAACAAACACTGTCTTGCCCTGGTATCCTATTATTTTTATTTTTCAAAAAGAGACTATATAACTTTAATATTTTGCTTGTTTTTTTTTTGAAGAAAAAAAAACAATTATAACAAATACTAGTAAAAATAAAAAACTAGATTTATTATAGTCTTTAATCCATTAGAACTTTAATATACTTGATTTGATTTTGATTCCTTTTTTTTACAGGACGTAAAGGAAGCTTCGACTTTGGCGGCGGCGGTGGAGGAGGCGGAGGAAAAGGAGGAAAAAAGGGAAAAGGAGGCAAAAAAGGCATGATGATGGGTGGAATGATGATGTTAATGGGAGCGAAAATGGCAGCCCTAATTCCTATGTGTATCGCTATAACCCTCTTTATAGCCAAAAAAGCCCTCATAACTGCTAAAATCGCACTTCTTATATCCGGGTTCATCGCTATTAAGAAACTCATGGGATCCAAGAAGGGAGGTGGTGGAGGTGGAGGACATGGAGGCGGTTGGCAATCCGGAGGTGATAGTGGCTGGCAATCTAGTGGCGGCGGCGGTGGCGGAGGAGGATGGCAATCTGGAGGAGGCGGAGGCGGTGGTGGAGGCTGGCAATCAGGAGGTGGTGGAGGTGGAGGTGGAGGCTGGGACAAACGATCCTACAATGAAGTACAAAGTCTGGCTTATAACGCCTATAGCTCGTAGTATTAAAAACTAGTTGATAATGTTCTACAAATCATTCACCGAGAGCAATAGTGGCAGAACTAAAAAATGTAGCATTAAGTAAATAATACATTTTCTTTGAACAAGACTGACACAATTTTAGTTGAAATATATTTCCTAAGGAATCATCTTAATTAGTTTTTTTATTCAAGCTGCACCAAAAGTGGCACATATTCAATATTGGCATTTAGTATTTTAGAGTAGGTTTTGTTATCTTTAGGCAATAGTGACACTTTTGAGTTAGGTGACTTGATTAATTATTCAAGTACCGAATAATAGTGACACATTTTTAAATGTGACAATAATTAATAATAAAATAGAGTAAATTATGGTCTTGTCAACGCATATTTTTTCAAATTCAATTAAAAAATAATAGAAACAAATATTTTTCTATCATTTAATAATCTGATAAATAAATAAAGTAAAATTAGCAAAATTTTTAAACTCAGTTTTCTTCATTATTTTTAAGATGTGCTATTATTGCTTTCGGTGAACGAAATGTGTTTAAACCGATTTTATTGGTCAATTTTACCATTTTTTAATTACAATATGACAGTTATGACAACAGTCATAAACAGAAATACTAGATATTTTTCTTATTGTTAAATTATTTATTGTAGATATTTATTTTTAAGTTATTTTTCGTATTTATTAAATGGCTACTATGTTGCCACTAATTTATTTCTAATAAAAATGTTAAATAAACCTGAGTTTTTCTTCTAAATCATTTTTTCCAGTGTGCTAATTTTTATGAAAAAGATTTCTTAAAAATGTCAAGGTCTATATTTAAAAAACTCACGTTGGGGAAAAAACATTTTAAATTAACTGATTTTAAAGTTAGAAGATTTTAAGTTAAATTTAAACTATAAGAAATTTGGGCAACCTTATAAAAATAAAAATTTTAAAAATTAATAGTTATTTATGGTACTAGTGTGTTATGTTGAAAATAAGTCACGCGATAAAGATTTATAAATTTTCAAGTGACTTAGGAAACATAACACACGAGTGGCATACAATGTTTTATATAACAAACAAGTGGAATAAATCGTTTTTTTTTAAGAGATAATAATTATTAATACGTTTTCTGATCAAATCAAAGCTACTAGCGTCTCAGTACCCTATAAATGTCAGAATGACTTGACAGGGACTATTTTAAATTTTGGTCAAAGTAGGGTGTTTATTTATATTCAAGACAAAGGGACATATTTTTACGTAGTTTTGTCAGACACTAAAACCAAGAAATCGAGAAGTTTCACCATACTTGAAGAAGGATTTCCAGTCAACCCGATCAATTTGTGTAAAAAATACATGTCTTTAAGACCAAATAATACTAGTTCTAGCCGCTTTTTTGTTTTTTACAAAAATAAGAGGTGTACCAGCCAGTGTGTGGAAATAAATACGTTGTTGAAGATTCCTTCGAAAATTGCAATGTTTTTGAAACTGGAGGAACCAACGCTCTACACCGGTCACTGCCTGAGAAGGTCTTTGGCGACTCTTTTGGCCAATGCAGGGGCTAACATAACTACTTTGAAGCGTCACGGAGGATGGAAGTCCTCGACGGTAGCAGAAAAATACCTAGAAGAATCGGTACATAACAAAATACAAATTGCAGAAAAAATACAAGGTTCTAATGTGTCGGCGTCTTCCAGCACTACCAGTAACTGTACCGAAATGAGAGAGTCTGGTTCCAATGAACCAACGAATTTTACAATGACTTCAAATTCGAATAATCTGTTGTAATAGTAATTAATAAATATAATACTACTTTAAATATGAACGTTTTAATTCATAACTCACTAGTGAGTTATATAATCCATAACTCACTAGTGAGTTACAGATTATACCACACTAGTGTATTATTTGATAGTTTACTTGTCTAAAATGACATCAATAATGACAGTCATAATTGTCATATGTTGGATAAAAATATATATTACGCACTAAAGACAGACAGTTTAGATTGTGTTGTGTCAAAAGTTAAAATACACATGCAGAAAATACAATAATAAAGTTAAAGACTTGGCTGGACCCCTTAGTTTTAAAAAATACACTAATAGTTTATTCAATGTTTTTTTTTATTTGGTGTCATATCAACTACTACGGTTATTAGCCTCGTGATCTGGGTAGGCTTTGTTACTGTTTCGCAGCGCCACTTTAGTATTACACATCAGTATTAATTTTAAATAATTAAATTAAATTAAAAAATCCTGTCAACATGTCATATTGTATCTATAAATAAATGGTTTCAATTTTCAAATTACATTTCTGGAAATCTATAAATAAACAGTGGAACCATAAGTATTGTGGACAACCCTCAGGAGAGGCTTTTGTGAGTACAATATACCCTTAATCTCATAATTTATTTATTAATTAGCATCCAAAACTGCCTTTTTCACTTGTTTTGAAAAGTGTTGATGCCGTATTGACTTTAAAATCTTGCACCAATTGTAATATTGTAATCGCTCATGCTTATGCCGCTACACCTTATGATTGATGTCATGGCGAAGTTCATCTCACCTGTGTAGGGATGAATTCAGATGATGTAGACTATATAGTTTTCGGTTCTGTATGCCCCAAAAGAGGACACAGCCTACAATTTGGCTCAGATAGCTAAAACCCAACAGTCACACCCCGAACCAGGACGTATTGCTATCATTTTAAGTAAAAAATAACTAAAAATAAGTTACCAGAAAAATGAAGGCGTCTAACTTTACACCAAAAAAAACATACACTTTTTCCTACTGTTGTAAGCACCCGATGACGATTAGGTAGATATCAACTAGAAGCATGTACTTAATGGTTATAAAGCTTATTTTAACACAAAAAGAATAAAGCACTAGTCGAAAAGCAGCAATCAAATATAAATAGACCACAATATTAAAATTCAAATTAAAAACTATAACTATAAAAGACAAATACTCTAAAAGCGCAAAAGATCAAAACCAAATAAAATGAATAACCATAATTATCTAAAAATCACACTAAAATTGCAAAAACTATTACTGCAAAATCATGAGATTACATCAATAATTCATATGCGTCGGAATATTGCAAATGTCAAAAGTACAGTGTTTCCATGAAAATTTAGCCATGATTTTAGCAGTATTATAGGACCATTTCTACCATGCGCATCCAACGATATTGGCGTTCCACAGTTCACTGTTTTTCCTCACACCTCTAGTATAAATGATTTGACATAACAAAACTAACAATAATTATAATTAATGTAAAGTAATAAATGTTTCGTGAATTCTAAATAAAATAATTATTATATAAAAGTGTAAAAGGAAATATAATTTATTTCCCTATTTTCTTCTGTAATATCTTCAATTATTATGTTTTTTTTTTATAAATAAACTAACTAATTAGGTGAAACATTGTGATATATGATTTTATTTATGTGTCCTATGCGTACACTTTAATATACAAAACACCTGGAACATTCTTTAAATAATTGTGGTCGTAGAAATAATTGTGTACATATCTCGTTTGAAAATGTATTTTATGCACTTGCCAAATATATTATCCATACTCACAGTTTAATCAGACTCTTTTTTTACTTAACTTCAGTATATCTCTTACTAATATATACTTAATATAAACTTTGGAATCATCCTGTATATAAATATAGTTAAAACGCATCCAATATGTTTTATTCACTTTTTAACTCACCACGGTAGTATGTACTCTTAATATCCTAAATAAACAAGAACAATTTCTTTATCAATAAACAACATGCTTAATTATCGGAAAATTGACCATGGCAAACAATCGAATGAAAAAGTCATTTTAGTAATGTGTTACCGTTTATAATAAATGTACCATATGCTTAGACATTTATTTCTACTAAGTAACTTTCACATGAATGGTATCACTGTGTATTAATAAACAATTTTTAAGTTTACAAAAGAGGTGGATCGAAATCTAGAGAAATAATGAATCATACTAAACTGAATTCTGCATAAAATTTCTATAATGAGTCACAGCTAGTACATTTCATATTTATGGTTTCAGCGTGCTCCCCTGATATACAAAATAACATGTCTCAGCGAGTTATTCAAGTAAGATCTTTTTAAATAGAACATTTTTGTATAGATATCCTCGTAAAAATGGGAAGCACCTCTCTACTTTAATCCTGTTATTCCTGATTTATGGTAAAAACTAAAATAAATTAATAAAAATAATTACAACTACATAATTTTTTTTTATTTATGTAAAGAAATGTGAAAATATTTTAATTTTTCTATTTTTGGTAAACATAAACCAAATATTCATTAACAGCTGACATAGAAATACACTCCCACAACAACATTAATTTACCGTTTCCAAACCAATATTTTGTTATCTACTTCATAAAACTTTAACTGCTTGTTTTATTTTACTTTTTTTTTAAATCCTCTGCATTTATTGAATATCAATATTTATTTACTAGTAAAAATGTTATATTTTCTGTTTTTGTTTCGAAATGCATATTAAATAAAAAAATATTACAATAAATAGCTGACCTCAAAAATTGTGCTAGTATTTGACCTTTTCAAATCCTTTAAGAAATATATTTTTACATATATTTAAATTTTTTATTAAGCTTTGTGGGGGTACCCCCAAAGATGCGAACCTAACTGTGCTAGTGGGTGTCAATGTATTGTATAAAACAAGACACAATAACAGGATAACCCTCAGTTCGTTATTGTGTCTTACAATACCCAAGCGTATACATAATATTTTGTGATAATGATAAAATTAGTGCTAGTGTTATTTTTTGTGATAGGTGCTTTCGCACAAAACAGTTTTGAAAGTTCAGGTGTTCAACTAGCTTTAAAAATTTACGATGATTGCTCGAAAACCGAAGGATTATCAGTGTGTTTAAAGAAGAAAGCTATCACTTTCATCGACAGATTGGGCCGCATGGACAAACTTTCGCTTAGCGATGGAATTGTAGTTCATAAAACAGCAGATGCGCCTAAAGATGCAGCTGCTATAACAGAAGAGGAACTGGATAAAACATTACAAAGATCTTTAGATGCGAAAGATGATGCTCTTACGGGAATTATGTTTGAGAAAATCAGCAATTTCATTGGATCGAGATCGATTGAAGTCGCTTTGCCAAAAATTGATGCGTCAGAACTTATCGAAGAAGGTAAAAATTAATTAATATTACTCTAAAATTATCTTCCAAAATTTTTTGTTTAGAAAGTTATCTCATCATTACTATGTTTGTCTCTGCAGCTTTACTTTTCGTATCTTGGAATCCTTTATTGGAAGCCTAACAAGCAATATAGTGTAATACCCACTAAGACTTTCTGATTGATTCAGTATTACCAGGCAGATAATAGATGACCCATTTATCTCTTTCTGTTCTTTAATCTTGATAATCTTCATGAGAAGATGTGCCACCATATCCCACTACTTTCACTGTAGACATGTAGGGTTCTGTTCTAATTTAACCCTATTCCAAGCTATAGAATTGACTACCACAGTGCATTTCAAAAGTTTCCTAGAGTATTTGCTAAATCATTTATGACTGATAAATACAAGCACCTGCAGAAGTTAAAACCCTGAACAGTACAATAAAACTATTTTGGGTCATTTAACCAATGTATCTTTATTATTACCTTTTATCATTTTATATTTTATATTAACAAAATATTTATTACAGTTTTCTTATTTTGGATTATAAAAAATCGTCGGTAGGAACTTCTTCTCAATACTTATCTTATCTCAGGGTATTTTTAGAATCCTTCTATATAATCACATCTTCATTGTCTTCAGTCAATTACCATTGTTATATTATTCTTTCGTTGGCTCCTTATATACTTACAGACTTTACAGATGGACCTGGTAAGCAATGTCCATGTCCTTTAAAAAGTTCGCTAGTGAGTTGCAAACAAATACTTCTCTAAAAAAGAAATTAATACCTTAATGATCAATTGCGATAGTAAACCCAAGGATAGAGCCCAATAGAAATCACCCTAAAATTTATGCTGGCTTATTCTGTAAAATATCACTTGTTTTAGTTGAATACTTCTTTGATCTTAAGGGTTTTAATTATATTTACTAGGAAATATATGATTTTTCTAAAATCATGTTATAAGAGCTATCCTCCAATGAATTGGGGCATAATTCACAAAAACATAAATAATAATACAGTTATTAAGATGGATACGTTTGTCTTATATATAACGGGACAGAGTCCTGTAGATTCTGAAGCTCAAAGAGAAATAGTAGGTCTTGTGAGTCTAAGAGTAATCATGTTAGATTGGGAAAGGTTTTCTTTAGCTGGTGGAATAGTAGGTGGCGCAGGGGAGCCATGGGGTTTTTAGTGTATTTTGGAAGTGTTTGTTTAAGCCAACCAGATTGCAAGATACATATTTTTTCCTAGAGTGATATAGTAGATACTAGCATCGTCGAAAGATACATCTCTTGAGTGTAGTGAGTTTGTTGGCTAGAAATGTACCATATGGTACTGCTCTGTATTTGAAAACGAAGCGGAAAAATAAATTGTATGCATAAATTAGTGTTTCTGGATTCCATCGTCCAGACGAAGTTCACTGTAATGTAATATTGTTGCTAAATACACTTTGGTCCTTAAATATATATGTATATTTTAAATATATTTTTTTTACAGGTCGTAAAGGAGACTTTGACTTCGGAGGCGGCGGTGGCAAAAAGGGTGGTAAAAAACACAACAAAGGTGGGAAAAAAGGTATGATGGGCAATTTGATGATGATAATAGCAGCAAAACTAGCAGCCTTGCTTCCATTAAAAATCGCTGCTCTATTCATAATGGCGAAGAAAGCTCTTATAATCGCTAAGATTGCTCTTCTTATTTCTGGACTCATCGCTGCCAAAAAACTTTTGGGAGCCAAGAAAGGAGGTGGTAGCAGCGGAGGCTGGCAATCCGTAAGTGACGGCGGGTGGCAATCTGGAGGCGGCGGTGGATGGCAATCTGGAGGCGGTGGAGGATGGCAAGCTGGAGGTGGTGGTGGTTGGGACAAGCGATCGACTAACGAGGCTCAACCATTAGCTTACAACGCATACAAACCAAAACAAATTTAATTGTAACAAATTAGTTGTGACTAATCAATATTTGATCATTTGTAGAAATGTTGTAGTTTCTTCTTATTGTTAAATTATTTATTTTACATATTTATTTAATTTATTTTTTGCATATTTACTGTGATTCGAAGATATTGTCCCCATCTCAGCTAATTTGTTATTTTTGAAATAGAAAATAAAAATTTTAAAAACAAATTGTTTTATTTAACGAAATAAAAATAATATAAATGTATAAATTTAAAATGTTGCTCTAATTTTAAATATTTTATATATACAGGGTAAGTTAAAAGTGATATTTTAGAAATAATCTAAATTGAATATTTTAGAATATAGAACTATTATAAATACGTCAATTTTTATTAAGAGAAAGATATTTTTCTATTATATCTTCAATTGTCTTAAGTAATTCGCCCCCCATTGATCACTCTAACCAATTTAATCAATATAATTTAAACTGGGATAGTACCAAGTATAGTACATCATTTAAAAAGTAATTTCATGCAAAACTCATTAATATAATTTTATCTAATATGTACTTAATAATTGGAAACTTTGCAGAGCTATAATGTTAAGAAATTCAAGTTACAAAAAAAATTGTTAAAAAATCAATACTATAAATTTAAAATGGAACAGTTTTCAGAAGATTGTAAAATATGGAAAACCTTTAATAAATATAACAACTAAGTTATAAAAAATAGGAATCAAGAACTGAAAGACATTTAATAAGGGAAAAATTAACAAAAAGTAATGAAATTGGTTTGACTAATAAAGACTCAATACCTCAGCACCTAGATTTTATAAAATACCAGTTAAAATACTAAAGAAATTTTTGAATAAAATACGAAACCAATTATTCATTGAATTACTTTATAATTTTTTAAAAGTTAAGTGTCCCAAATACTTTAAAATTAGCATATTTAAGCCAATTTATAAAAAACGTAACCCAAATGTACCATGAAATTATAGGCCCATTAGTTTAATTTCTAAAATATGCAAAAATTTTGAGAAAAAACTTAAAATACGTTTGGATGAGTTTTTTTTTTGAGTTAACATTAAACATTAACAACATTAAATTATGTTGAACACGCAATTTGAAAAAGTAGAAAATCAACTGATGACGCAGCTGCATATTGAGTAAATAAAATATACAAGAATTTTGATATTATCTCCATTGGTAAGTTATTTTTTGAAGATCTAAAATAAATAGTACAAATTAATTATACAATAATAATAAAGAAACAGTTATCCCTCAAGGAACTGTGATCGGCCCTATTATTTTATTCAAATTGTTTATTGAAGTATTTCAAAGTGATTCCCGTAAAAACCTTCAAGTTTGCATTAATAATATCGTCCATTTTTTCTAATAAAATAAAACTTAATTCTTGTTAAGAATGGGGCAAGCAACTGAAGATTCTCTGATTAAAAATAAGACGATTAAATGCAACATGCATAAATAAAATATTTTTTAAAATACAGGGTGTTAAAGTTGAACATTAAAAAAATATTAATGGCTATAATTTTTACTTTCCTATCTGTATACAGATAAGGAAAGTACAGGAATCATGATTTTTTTCGACCTCGAGTTTTCGACTGATTTTTATGTTTTAGGGCCCTCTGAATCCGTTTTGTTAAAATTATAGTCAGAGGAGTAAATTTAGAGGGGAAGAAGGTATTACTTTTATCCATGATGTACGCTACTAGCAAAGTTTATTTAAGTGATTGTTCTGCTCATAAGTGTATCGTATGACATTAACAGTTTTTGCCAAATTTAGTAAAATTAAATTGAGAAATACAAATATTATAGACATTAATATTATTTTTTTTTAATTTTCAACTTTAACACCCTGTATTTCGGAAATCAGTAATATTTTATCTAAGCATATTTTGTTTAATGGTCTTGTTTTTAATCACAGAATCTTAAGTTATTTTCTGTCCCATTTTTAATGAGACCCTGAATATTATAAACTTAAAATAAGTAGTATGTTTTTGATCGTTTTTTTATGTATGTTAATTAATTAATACATTTCTTAAATTTACGGATAATTAGAATTACATTTTTATTCTAATTGGCATTTTTTCCAGTTAAATTTAAAAATATCCTAAACCTATTAACCCTAGGAATAAGAAATGCATGACTGAATTATTAGGGTATAGTTTTATATGATACAAAACAATTAAGAAAATAATATATTTAATTTACCCTATGTACACTTGTTGCTACTTTAAAAATGTATCAGTATACAATTAATAAGAAGATAATTAGAAATCATATGTTCAATTATTTATTCTCGGGTATGCAAGCCATTGAAAACAATACGATTTTCACACATACACGCACACACACGCACACACACACACACACACACACACACACACACACACACACACACACACACACACACACACACACACACACACACACACACACACACACACGCACGCACGCACGCACCCACCCACACACACACACACACCTTACTTGAGCCCAAGTCGGGTAGATTCCCATCCTGTTTTACTGGATCGAAACCCTCCTGACCCCCCCCCCCCCCCCCCCCCCCCCCCCCCCCCCCCGACTACTTCACTCAGGAGGTCTCAAGATGTTCAATCCATCTGATTAGTACGACTTTTATTTGTTTTCTAAATATTTATAATATGGAATTGGAACGAGTTATCTGCTCAAGCAGGCCAAAGAATCATCCCTATCCGGCCTACTCCCTTTAAATATCTAGTTTTACAAATATCCCAAAGCAATTCTATAGCAATTCACTCAAACTAAATAAAAAATACCAACCAAAATGCTGTCCAAGAGTCCATCGGAGCTTCCGACATGGCCACAGCTGGCTATGGAAATACCTCCCCCTTATATCCACATTGCACAGTAGTAGTAGGCCTGTTCTGGTTCTTTAAAAATATATTAGAAACTGTTCAAGTTACTAGGTGACCAGTGGAAAATCGAAAAGTTTTTGCCATCGCATACTTTGATATTCAACTGTTCTACTGGATCTCGAACGGTTTGCAGTACATTTTGAAGAAACCAGAACGAGCCTAGTATTTTAATCATTCTGAATCATATTCTTATCGACTGTCCATTTTACCAAGCTTCGCGAAAAAAAAAACATTGTGTATTATTTATTTTGAAGTATGCAGGCCACTGAAATCAGAAGGATTTTTGTTTATGTTGTCAACCAGCTGAGGTTTCAACAATAACAGTAGCAGAAACGAAATTATGTATTGTTTATACTCCGTTTCACGAGAGAAGAACCCAGCTGAAGTTGCAACAATGACAGTCGCAGAAACACAATAATGTCTTATTTATCTACGTCGCGTAGTACCGACAGGGTCACGCCACTGGCGTAGAACGAACATTTTTATGCCAATAGCCATTTATTTATTTGTTAGCAACGTTAGCGTTTGACATCTAAGGTTATGTTTTTGGAATCGCCTATTTGTTAAATACTTTTGATTTTTGACTATATTAAGACGTTTTGTTAAACCATGCTTCCTAAAAAAACTTGTTGCTTCAAAAGGAAAAATTATCGATAGTCACGGTCGGCAGATTATAAATAATGTCGCATATTTTATAAAATCCGAAGCTGAAGATGGAATTTAAATTCCTTTACAAAATCATTGGTAAGTAGAATAAAAAAGTATATTACCTATGCAATAATGTAATTTATTATTCCCAACCAGATCAGTCGGAATTTACAAGTATTCTTTGGCGAACTTATATACTTAGTAATAGACTAGATCTTTGCCAGATCTAGTTTTTGGACAAAACATCGGTTGTTTTATTATGTTATTGTAGATTATAAATCGTGCCTTTATTGCAAATACCACCTAATAAATTATATTTTCTGTAATAAACATACGAAGTTTGGGTATAAAATTTTATCTGTAAAACAAATATTTCTTAATTTTGTAAGCAGTTTGTAGCATTGAGATTGTTATAAAATCTTTAGAAAAGTAGTATTCTAATTTAAAAGTAATTGAATTCTACTAAAAAGTATTCGACTTATATGATTTTGCCTATAAAGAAAATATTTGTTATTTTATACAATGAAAAATTATGTGTCTTGGTATATTTGCAAGTCAAGCTTACAGTGTTCTTTAATTCGTAAAATATTTATCCTGATTGAGTATTTTTAATATACGCAAGCTTCATTTTCCTTGAGAATAAAATTAGAATAAATTTTGATAAAATACAGATATTTATTTATATCATTTTAAAATGTGATCTTATTTGTTTTTAGCCATAATTTATTTTCAAACGGAACATTGTATCAGCAACTAACTTGTTTAGGGACTAAAAGTATTTCCACAACCATACAATGTAAAAATTGCTGATTTTTAATACCTATATTTTTAAATAGCAGAGAACGAACTCTAAAAGCAACTGGTGCGAGTAAAAGTACTTACACCAGAATTAAAAAGGAAGCCTTAGCTATTGAAAGAGGAGCATTTACTTCGTTTGGATCTCCTCGAAAAAAGAGACCGATGAAAAAATCAGTACTGGAAGCACTAAAACTTGGAGAACTGGAAAGGATTCGGAAGATCGTTTATGAATTTTAATCCTGGAGAAAAGGAATCCTAATTTAAAATGTAGATTTGATAGAAATAAAATAATTATTTTTGTATTAAGTGAAATTAGGTTTTTTATATTGTACCATTGACAGATATTAAAATCTCCAAAATAAACGTGTCAGTTTACTTTTAACCGTAAAAATTTTTAGACTCGAAAGTATTTTAATAATTTTTATAGAAAAAAGTTTTTTTATTAAATATATTAAATATAAATATATTTTTCTAGGTATTCTTTACAAAGTACAAACTGTTCTACCTGAATTTAAAGTAAAACTTCTTTATGGAGGCTGCTAAAAAGTATGGGGTTTATGTAGGTAGTTTTTAAAGTTAAACTGTACTTTTAGTGGGCTTTTTAGAAGAAAAAATAATATAGGACTACAATAGACATTGTGACATTGAAAATATTAATAAGTAACATGTATAACTATTTAATTAAAAATCTGATGTATTCAACACATGACTTTCCTATCTAGTTATTATAGGCTTTTTCCGGTTATTTTGTACAACCTATTGCAGCATCTCTATAAATGTTTAGATATATACATTGTCCACATACCTCGAAACATTTTTCTATAGATATTCATTAAAAACGAAAATACTGAAAAATTTAAATTTCCTACAATTTTTTCATTACGGTCTATTTTAGAAAAATTATGTATAAACAAAAGTTATAGAGATCGATATCGCAAACAACTTTTAGTTCAACAATTTTCATAAAAATTAGAATTTTGCACATTTAGCAGAAATTATAGATAAAATATTAGAAGTAACTTTTATTTGACCAATTTTTTTCTCCAAACATAAATAACAGATATATTCCATAAAATATAAAAACGGCCTCCCATAAAGTACCCCCCCAGATGTTTCGACTTTTCCAAAATCTAATTATTTTACGTCATGCCGAAATAAAACTTAAGTTTAAAATTTAATGTTTTTTTTATTTATCCGTTTTTGAGTTTTCTTCAAATTTCAAAATTTACAATTTTCTCAAATTTCTCGAATACGGTTTATTTTAGAGAAATTATGTATAGGATAAAAATTATAGAGAATTATATTACAAACAACTTTTATTTGAATAATTTTTATAAAAAATATTTTTTTACATTTTGTCAAATTTCTCGAATACGGATTATTTTACGAAAATTTTGTATAATACAAAAATTATTGATAATTATATAAGAAGTAACTTTTATTCAAAGAATTTTCTTCCCCAAACGTAAATAACAGATATATTCTATAAAATATAAAAATGACCACCCATAAAGTACCCCCCCAGATGTTTCGACTCTGCTTAAAATCTAATCAGTTCATTGGACGCTGGAATAAAGCTCAAGTTTAAAATTTGGAGGTCGAAAAACATCATGATTCCTATACTTTCCTTATATCTGTATACAGATAGGAAAGTAAAAATGATGCTATAATTCTAGATGGCAGCGAACACAAGATAACAGAAAGATGATTATGGAATCCTATGATATTCGCCTCAAGAGAATTACTTTCTTAGAAAATGTTATAAAATATAGAAATGAAGGCTGGAATATTATATATACTGATGACACACATCTACAGCTCACATGTGCAATCTAAGGGATGGTATGATATATTAGGAAAAGGTTTGAAGAAGCCAATCTCAAAAGGAAGGAGACTTGTGATTGTACATTGGTGCATTGGTACACAAGTGGAGAAAATGGATTTATTTCTAATGCCTTATTAATATGTCGTTTAGGTATGTCTCTACATATATTGAAAAGTGTTATTTTTTAAGTATCGATTGTCCCAAATATTTATAAACACTGTATATATCAGGTATAACATGTTTTAATTTAGTTTAGGAAAAAACGATGTTTAATAGTAATGACGTAATGACCATAGCAGTAAAAATTATTTAATTTGAATGTGTGGAAAAACGAATAACTTCACTCATTAGCGTTTATAAAAATGTTGCGCTAGAACAAAAAACATGTTCTGATTTTTAGTTAATTTTTTGAAAATTATACTATTGTTATTTATGGTTTATCATTGGTTTTAAAACAATATATAATAAAAGATAATTGTAACAGTCAAATTAGGCAACACAATTTTCCATGTCTTAATATGACGTGTTGCACTGCTATTTTTATTTTTTTTTTATATTAAATTACATTCAAATAAAACTTTTAATCCTTCACTTCATCTGTGTACTAAATGTTTAGTTATTATGTAATTTGTTTACAAAATAGTACATTTTCATGTGTATCCAGATTAAATTTGTTCTATTTTTGTTAGGTTCTAAAAGTGGAGACTTCCATGATAACATGAATCATTCAAACTTTATGAAATATGTTCAGGAATAAATATTGCCCCAATATGCCTGAGAAATCAGTTCTGGTTGTAGATAATGCTTCTTACCACAACGTAAAAACTGAAAAAAGTATTACTTCAGCATCTAGAAAAGCAAAAATGTTAAAATGGCTTAGAACCCACAAAATTGTAATGCTAATAAGACAAAACCCGCTTTGTATTAACTAATAAAATCATTTCAGTTCGGTATTCCTGTTTCCTATTGAAAGAACATGGGCATAAAGTCTTACGGTTGCCACCTTATCATCCAGAATTCAGCCCAATAATAAATATCTGGGTACTGGTTAAGAACTGGGTGGCAGAGCACAATACCACAATTAAACTGTATAATGTGGAGAAATTTTCCAGGAAGAAATTGTCTGAAGTGTTTGTGCAAGAATGGTGTTTTATTTCCAACTTTTCAATAATTTTTACCAATAATTGAATAAATCATTTAATTAATGTTACCAATATTTTTCAAGCATTCCTAAATTAAAATAAACAAATTTATAAGTTCCTAGTGTGTGTGTGTTTTTTTTACCTTTTTTATTACCTAAACGTTTTACTTAGGACTTGAAGTAATAGGCTATTGAATATGTCCTAAGAAGAGAATAATATCTCAGCTAGTTCATAAAAAAAAAACGTGTATAACCCACAATTTTATTGTAAATTTAATCTACTTTTTTTGTATAAAGCAATGCATACACCTATCTCTACTAATAAAGCAATTATAAGCATAAGAGTAAAAAAAAACAGACTTTTTGCATTTTAAATTCTTTTTTTATAGTATTTACATAAAAAATTAAAATGAACAAAAATTTCATATTAACTGCATGAATTTTGCTTCGCTAAGAAAGAAATTATACGCAAAAAAGTAAAAAAAATATTGATTTTTGGCCTTTTAATTTCTATATTTATAATTTTTACGTAAAAAATTTTTAAATAAATAATTCTACATGAAATCGCTTTCCTTACAAAAAAAATTTGAAATTCTATACCCACATTTTGCTTCGATTTCAAGATATAATTAAAAAACTCTAAAGGCTGCATTTTCGTAACTATCTCCAATTTTCACCCGCTAATTCAATAGCATTTTTATTGATTATATTTGAATAATTTATGCGACAAAACTTATGAAAGTGATCATTTCTTTCTATATCACATATTAAATCAGTTTGCTAATTGCATTTGTTTTAAATTTCTTACATTAAAACGGGTGAAAATTGACGTACACCATTTACATATTAATATTTATTTAAACATTAAATTTGTAATGCTATTGAGTTGAAGTCAAATATCTAATTTTTAATAAGCCGCTGGTTACGACTATGTTATGACGACATGTTTGCGCATATGACTGCAACTTCAGATGGTTTCTAAATCTCATGAAATGGATTCTACTTTCAATTAAAGTCTCTAAAAGAACTGCATTTCTGTTATACCTTAATAAATGTTTAGTCAAACTCACTTCAATTCCTAATTAGATTCTGTAATATCAATATGTTGTTTCTACAATTATTGTTCTATATTGTTCTTATTTTTTTTGCTTTTATACCTTCTGTATTTCTTTATAACTTCATTTATACTAACTTCTTTATCTTCATCTGCTTGCGCAAATTTATTTTTAAACATAAAATTCTTCAAAATGTTTCAATTAAACTCAATAATGTCAGATTAACTCTTACACTTTCTTCTCTATTAACCATTACCGAATGAAATGGTATACTATTAAACAATGTTTAAACTAATACAAGTGCACACCTCTCATGAGCAACTAAAGAAATCTTAAATACAACTAACCGGAAAACATCACGAACAAACAGTGGGTTCTTAAATTGAAGAATATTAAAAAAATAAACAACAGAAGCTCGCTTGGCAGGTATATAAATTTTCACAATTTTATTTTCAATAAAGTCAATATTTGAAGAAGAAACTAACCTACAAACCAAATTCTATTTGTTAAGAAGTACATACATTTTTAACGATTATTTCTCTTTGCATATCCATATTTTATTATGAATTTTGTGTGGGGATACCCCCTAAAAAATACACACATTTCGGTGTATCTGGGCGTCAAGTTTTGCTATAAAACAGGAAACAATAAGTGAGTTGTCATCTGTTCGTTCTTGTTCAACGGAGTGCAAAGTGTATTCAGTGACCATGAGAGTAATAGTGTTATTGTCTGTAATTGTGATTAGTGTTTATGCCCAGGAAAGTTACGACAATACCGGTGTTCGATTAGCTTTAGAACTTTACGATAATTGCTCGAAAGCTGATGGATTATCGCCGTGTTTAAAGAAAAAAGCCATTACTATGCTCGATAATTTGGGTCGAATGGATAACCTGACTCTCGCTGATGGAATTGTGTGTCATAAAAATTTAGATGCACCTAAAGATGGACCAGCTGTAACGGAAGAACAACTAGATCAAACTTTACCGAGATCTTCAGATGCTAAAGATGCAGCTCTTACCGAAATGCTTTTTGATAAGATCAGCAACTTCATTGGATCCAGATCAATCGAAGTCGCTTTGCCGAAAATTTCTGCGTCAGAACTTATCGAAGCAGGTAAAATATTGAAAATATTTTCTTTCAAAGCGTCTAACATTATTAATTTAAAATTATTAGCTCTTTCAGGCAATTTATTTATATTTATATTTGAAATTTTTGATTATTTTCTGTTATTTGCTATGTATCTTAATATTTGTATGTTATTTCAATTTTTCTCATATTTTCTGGGTACTTCCAACCTATTTTAACCCTATTCGTTGCTGTTCTTTTCTTCTAAAATTGTTTGCACTTACCAGATCCTGTAATACTGTCTCTTTCCAATTTCTCTTAAAATAATTCGAACTTCTACCTTCTGGTTCTTTTCAACTGTTTGCTCATCTTTCTTTCTTTCATATTTTTCAAATACATTATTACTATCTTTTCGAATCCTTTTAATCCTTTTCATCCTCACTCTAACTGATTCTGAGTTTCACAAGTTAATTTGCATTGTTTACTTTAAACGCCATTCTAAAGCTTAAGCAGCTTAAATAGCTTACCTTTTTATACTAGGTAGTTTTACATAAATTAACCGAAAATTCACTGCTGTGGTCATTATCCATACTCTGCTTATAGAGTTTGTTTAATATGAGGCTCCATTCATTGTTTCGCGATCTTCAAACGATGATTCTTCTCTGTCTAATATTATTTGTACTCGGAATGTGCCCCAGTCGTTGGACTTGTTTTTTTGTAAGTCTACTTTTTTTTATATTGATCTAAAATACCCGCTTTCAAGGCAAAATTTCCACAATCCCAAGCTGTCCATTAAATAATTTTGGTTTTGTATTTTAAACTATATAGCTCCAACATTTCTTATTACACTGTATGTTTTTTTAGTATTATCACTAGTCATTATTGATTAACCCTATTACTTATCAAAGAAGTCACCATCAAACTGTATTAATTGTTTCTATTAAAGTATTATAGGTTGGCGTGACGATTTACTGCAATATTTTATACTCTCACTAAAAATAACGTCTACTGCACGAGTTCAACTGACTTTTATTCTTTGAGCCTTTAGTTGAGTGTAAAGTTGTCCAGTAATTGCAGCACTTCTTCATTGACGTGTGAGTTGAGTCGACCCTCATGTTTCGTAGCAAGCCTCTTTACTTATTCTTTGACTGTCAACATCTTCAAATCTCTATGAAAATATTTGTTTCCATAAAACCATTCATAATTTTTATATAAAACTCGAACGATAATTCGTGATAAATCTATTTTACTCTATATATTCTTAAAATTTTCTTTTGGTGCTCTGATAAAAATCATTTTTGCTCATTGTTCAGTCTTTTCCAGATATTTCATTCAATATTCTCTTATTTTGCTTCAGCATAATATCTACACTTTCATTGTGTTTTTTTTTGTTATATTTTACAGAAATTTGCGATATTGTTAATATTGTGTCATTTGATTTTAAGTAATATTACAGAAAAAACAAAAACACGAAACAAAACAAAAAAATATAAAACAATACAAAATGTACAAATCACCGAAAAACACATAAAAACAATAAAAAACAATGGAAAACATTGAAAAATATATAACAAACAGAAGAGAAAAAACTTAAAAAACAACAAAAATAGTTTACTAAAAATTATTCTTATCCACAATATTTTTATACATTAGGAAAAACAACACATCTTCGGGAAACTTTTCTTGATTTGTTGGTGATTCATTTGCCATTCTTGTCATTTTCTCTTTGAAATTTGTCTGATATTCTTGTATTGTTTGCTTAAATATCATCTCTTCTCGAAAAATTTTTAGTTTTACATCAGCTGCTATCTTTACTTGTTCTATCTTATCTTCGTGCTTTATTCACATTTTCTATTCCTTCTTTCAGCTCCTTGTTACAATCATCCATCTGTTTTTTGTTTTTATTTATTTTCTGTATAAGTACCTAAAATAAAGGTACTTAAAATGACTGTTTGCTATTATATTTTTTCTTTCTTTATATTTTATTTGATACAAAAAAACACCAAAAACACAATAAAAAATCTTAAAAACTAAAAAACTGAAAAACCAAAAAATTTGTGGTACTCCGCTTGTTCTAGAGTATGTCGTCTAGCCTTGTCTTTTTATTAGACTTAGTAGCTTTAACAGTCGCTTCCGCATGTAGTTGCATGCATTTGGCTTTTCTTCGCCCAATGTTAGAAACCTAAATCCAGCCAGGCCTTCACATTGGCGCAGGACGTGGAATGATGCTTCCTCTTCTTTTTCACAAAACCTGCACAAAGTTGCTTCTTCTGCTGGATTTATGACACTCATGTGCATTTTGATCCAATAGGTCATTCGTGAACTTGGCCGATGGTTCCTTAATTAACTGTTTGGCCTGTCTCAGTCTTGGATAGTTGTTCCACCATTCCTGAGACTCTTCTTGCATCCATTGTGTAATGGATGTCTTGCACAATGCCTTAGCAACTCCACAGAAGGGTTCAGGGCCTATCATGGCCTTATCTGAGCCTTCTCGGGCTAATTCGTCGGCCTTTTCGTTGCCCTGATATCCTTCATGACCTGGAACCCAGGCTAGGGTCACCTTATTTTGACTACTTAGCTCTGCCAGGTCTTCTAGACAGTCTTTCACCAGTCGATGAAACACACTAAAAAAACACTAAAAGAACACTAAAAAACATTAAAATACACAAAAAAACACTGAAAAAACACTTTAAAACACAATAAAAACGCTAAAAAAAACGCTAAAAAACACTAAAAAACGCTAAAAAACACTAAAAAACACTAAAAAAAACACTAAAACACTAAAAACGCTAAAATAACACTAAAAAGTACTAAAAAAACACTAAAAAATAACAAAAACACACCAACAAAACACACCAAAACACACTAAAAAAACTAAAAACTAAACAACACTAAGAAACTAAAAAATCAGTCTATAGAATTTAGAAATAAGAGCAGTAAAAATGCACATTAATACTAACAAACACTAGGAAACAATAAAAACATAGAAAAAAGTAACTAACAGAAAACACAAAATTATTTTTATCTTTTATTCAATCGATTGTTACATCAACAATATTTTGTTACAGGCCGAAAAGGAGACTTTGACTTCGACTTCGGCGACAGTGGCGGGAAAAAAGGAGGAAAAAGACGTAAAGGTGGAAAAGGTGGAAAGGGAGGCAAAAAGGGCATGATGGAAGGCATGATGATGTTGATTGGTGCGAAACTAGCAGCGTTAATTCCTCTATCCATCGGTGTTATCCTGTTTATTGCTAAGAAAGCCCTCATTACAGCAAAAATTGCCCTTCTCATATCTGGAATCATCGCTTTCCAGAAGCTTTTCGGAAATAAAAAAATGGGAATGGGTGGAAGCGGTCATGGTGAATCTGGAGGAGGTATCAGCAGTTGGCTTCCTGGAGGAGGCAGTAGCGGTTGGCAAGCTGGAGGTGGTGGTGGAGGATGGCAATCCGGCGGTGGCGGCTATGATAGGAGGTCGTCCAATGAAGCGCAAACATTAGTTTATAACGCTTATAGCCAATAATGAATTCAATTTTAGTCACTGAATTTTGTTAAAACAATATAATTGACCGTTTTGTGGTCAATGTTTATAGAAACGTTTGAGTTTCTTGTTAGATTATTTATTGCAGATATTTATTTAAGTTATTGTATCATGTTTTTATTTATTGTAGAATAAAAATTTTACCAATAAATATGAATTTAATTTTCATCTCTTAAATAGGATTGGAAGGGTCGCTATAGGCATTGAGACATTTCCTTAGTGCAGTGGCGACAGAAGGGGGCACAATAGATCTTTTAGGTCGCAGTGTATTAACACCCCATTATCAACATAACATAACATTCATCTCTTAGGTAAAAATATCATTAGTTGTTAGTAGTTAGCCTTAAAAAGTTTAATCAAATTTTGAGTAAAATAAGAATTAACGAACATATGGTTTTTTGAGATTTAAAAGCGGATAAAAATATGTCTGTAAAGTTGATAGCTAATTTTCTCAATAAATTAAAGCTTGCATAAATTTATTTTTTTGGTTGTTTACCATTAAAGTTTGTGTTTTCTTTTTTTAATTTTTTAAGTTCCTGTTTCATTTAATTATATTTTGTTATGTTATGCAATAAATCTTGATCCTCTTATTTATCACGTATACAGTTCTTCTTTCACTAACATTCTCCTTAATCTCCGTTATCTTTGCTTATTTTTAAAAATTTATAATAGTTATTAACTTATGATAATTTTCTTTACATGCCTCTTGCTAAATTTAATTTTACAGGTTATTTTGATTCATAATTTAAAGTGTTTCATAGGCTAATGTCATATTAATATTTATTTATTGTTTCGGCCTTTACTTGATGAAAATCCATTTTATCTTGAATGAGTAAAACCAAATTTGATAGATTTTCACAAAACTTTTATTTTAAAAAATAAAAAAAAAAAATTAAAAACTCTACACATGAAATGTTTCGAAGTACAACTTCTTTTTCAAATGTGACTAATTTACAATTCGTTATCCAATATATATGCGAAATAATTTAATAAAACAAAGTACTTATGAAAACATCAATAACATAACAAAATAAACTAACTATTTAAAGTAAATAAGGGTACTTAGGTAATTATGATATCAATCAAATAACAATAAGACAGTAACATTACCGGGATTATCTCACAGAAAACTAGGAAAGAGATTTAATAAGGGTGAGTTAATAATATCTAATTGATCATTGAGTAGGTTATCTGAATTTTTAAATCTATTTATTTCAAGTGTTTCTAAATGGTTTAGTTTATTGCCCTTATTTTCTAAATGTAAAATTTCAAAGAATGATTTTCAGCTAAAATATGATTTGAGTAAGTAGAATTATTTTTGTTTTTTGTATAGCTATTATAATGTTCGGAATAGCGCTTTTTGAAAGTACGGCCTGTTTGACCAATATACAGTTTTGGACAACTACCACAATTTAATTTATATACCCCCGATTTATCATTAGGATTAATTTTACCCTTATTGTTTTTAATATACTTCCCAAGCGTATTATTGGTTTTAAAAGCTACGTTAATATTTTGGTTTTTTAAATATGATGATATCTTTTCACTAGGAGCTCCTATACAGGGTGTTATTAAAATACACGTACATATTAAAACTGGGTATTGCGCAGATCCCCACTGAATGTAGAAAAATATTATTTTTTAAAAATACCCCTTATTAAGGGAGTTATTAATTTTTGAAAATTAATTCTAAAACAAACGTACCTCACTGATATGTTGAGGATGACCTATATAAATTAGGTTTATTTACCTATTTTAAACATCAACAGTAATTAATATGCAAGTTTTTGTCAGATGATAAGAAAACTAGTCTTGTAAGAAATAACCATGTTGCCAAGATTTTCGAATTAATTTCTATTTCCGAAGACTGGTTTTTACTACCCTCGTTATCAAAGAACTAGAATATTGGATAAATGATTGTTTTTAAACTATACATTTTTGAAACTATAGATTATTAAAATTTTAGTTGATTTACGAATCTGGCTAACACGAGCGCGTCATTTCCAAGTTGGTAAAAAGTGTTGTTACGATTACTTTTAAATATTTGTTTACGATGCCACTATTTACGAATATTGAACTAACGGATATAGTGCTGGTTTATGGGGCAGCTGGAGAAAATTCTCGGCAAGCACAAATCCTGTATTGCGAACGGTTTCCAAATCGGAGAATTCCGGACTGTCGTACGTTTATTTCAACTGTTCAGCATCTAAGAGACCATGGAAAATTTGAGAGTGTCAATGCAGATCGAGGGAGAACAAAAACACAAAGAACATTGGCGGCCGAAGAAGAAATATTGGAAGCTGTTGAAAACTGGCCTCAATTAAGTTGTAGAAGACTAGGTCTTGAAATTGGAGTGTCCTCATTTGTTGTGTGGCGGACACTTAAAGAACAAGGTTTACATCCTTATCACATCCAAAAAGTCCAGGCCTTATATCCAGGTGATGAAGAAAAGAGAGTGGAGTTTTGTGAATGGATGATTCAAAAATGTGTTGATATTCCTGATTTTCTAAAAATATTATTGTATACTGACGAGGCTTCATTCACTCGTGATGGCGTGTTCAATATGCACAATCGCATATTTGGAGTGATGAAAATCCTCACGCCATTAGGGAAACTGGGCATCAAAGAAAATTTTCAATAAATGTTTGGGCTGGCATAATAGATCAGTATTTAATCGGGCCTTATGTTCTCCCGAACAGATTAAATGGGCCAGGATATCTCCACTTTTTAGAAGATATTTTGCCAGTACTCCTAGAAGAGATACCGTTACAATTAAGGCAACGGATGTGGTACCTACTAGATGGCGCTCCTCCTCACTTTGATTTAAACGTACGGCAGTTTTTGAACATTAGATTTCCTCAAAAGTGGATAGGCAGAAATGGACCTACTAAGTGGCCTCCGAGATCTCCGGACTTAAATCCATGCGATTTCTTTTTGTGGGGTCACATGAAACAACTGGTTTATAATGAACCTATTAATAGTGTTGAACAATTAACCAATAAAGTTAATGCGGTAGCCGAGGAACTACGACAAAATCCAAGACTAACTTCTAATGTTCAAAGTTTTTTGGAAAGACGATTGCAAGTGTGTGTAAATAATAATGGACGGCATTTTGAACAATTACTGTAATAAACTTTATTTTAAATTAATTGGTTTTGCTACGGCAACAGTGCAATTTCTATGGGTAAGTTCAATTTCGATTTATTTTACTTCTTTAAATATGGAAACTAGTAGGTCGGAAAAGGGGACTCTTCCCCAATATTTAAATTTTAGAATTAGAGTTAAAATTGGTGCCAATCGTTTTTGGTCATTACATACTATTCCCCATTTTAATATGTACGTGTATTTCAATAACACCTTGTATATGTAAGACTCTTATATTTGCAATTTTGATCTTTAATTATGGGATAAACTAGTTAAATAGCATGTTTAAAAAGTTTTTTCTCTAGAATGTTGTCTACTAACTTTGAATTAAAATTATTGTTTACTGCGATTTGTTTAATGATATTTTTTTCTTTTGTGAAGTTCTCTTTGGTAAGGGGGATATTAACTAATCTATGGATCATACTGTTGTATGCTGCCAGCTTTTGTTTGTATGAATGAGATGAACTATTATTTATTGTAATATCAGTATGTGATGGCTTATGAAATATCCCAAAACTATGGCCTATATCTATATCTCTTCTTAGTTTTTGAACACTTTCGGCAAATACTTCATTTCTACGACTATTCTGTTTGCTAGACATCTCGATGCTGAGGAAAAAAGCACCCATTTATATAAAAAAAAAATTTGTTTTGGCTTGTTTACTGCGTATTAGCTATGAACTGCCATTTCCTATACTTCCTTGTTTTCTCATTCGAATTAGACCAATTATAGCCGAAATATATGTTGTGGGTCCTTTTGGCCTGTCACTGCGCATGCTTTTTTTCTTCAGCGTTAATATAAATTTAATTCCCCATACTCACCCATTTTCAACCAATAATAACGGAGATATAAGCTTAAGGTCCTTTTGGCATGCCGCTGCGCATGCTTTTTCCAACTTTAATTTATGTTACGTCACGACAAGAGTGCGCGCTATATTGGATTGCGTAGTCGAGTCGCAAATCACTTATCTAAGTTTCGATTCTCAACACAGACAGGTAGCGCCATCTTGTGGCGACTATTGGTACAAGTGAGGCCATGGTAACTAAGTATATCTACTGACAAAATATTTACAAAACAATCCTTTGGATTCTGATGAGAAACTATTAAATACGCCCATGGAAATCACAGTTGTCAAAAGTTCGTAGATACGGGTTTCAAACAAAACCTCAGTTAAACGGCGCGGCGTCCGTAATTTATTTATATTTCATTTGCTTATCTGAGAAAATGAACCGTGTTCCGACAGGAACTGGTTAAAATGAATCTGTTACTAGACGATTAGTTTTCACTCACCTCTTCAGATCACGTATTATCGTATTTTGTCCATGGGCTTTTTTCTTTGTTTACCCGTTGCTGTAGTATTATTTCTTTTTTCCTTTGCTCTTTCCTTATTTCCATATTCTATTATACTACCCGTACATGGTTACTTTCCGAAAATGTGGCGAGAATCAGTAGTTTGTCCCATACCTAAAATAGCTAATCCTAATACTGTATGTGAATTACGTCCAATAAGTCTTTTACCTGTCTTATCCAAAATACTTGAACGAGTTGTGTATATACAGTTATATGACTACGTTACAAACAACAATATCATACCTACTCAGCAGTCTGGCTTTCGCAAAAATCACAGTACTACTTCTGCATTATCAAATCTAACTGACAATATTATAAGATCTATTGATAAAGAATTGGGTGTACTACTAATTACAATAGACTATTCTAAAGCCTTTGATTTAATTGACCACGACTTACTTTGTGCTAAACTGAAATACTATGGCTTAAATGACCCTGCACTATCATTTTTTAAGTCCTATCTATGGAAACGTAGTCAACGTGTATGCGTTGATGGTAGCTTTTCAAATTCCAAATTTATTGTCTCAGGGGTGCCTCAAGGATCCATTTTGGGGCCCCTGCTATTCCTTATATATACTTCAGAGTTGCCAAAAGTTGTTAGAAATAGTGAAATACAATTGTATGCTGACGACACACAGATTGTTCATTCTTTTGAACCTGCAGATATTCCTAATACCAATAACAATATAAATATGGATTTAGATGCCATTTTTCAATTTTCCAGAGAACATAACTTAACAGTTAATCCATCTAAAACCACAGCAATCTTATTTTGTAGTAAGGCCAAAAGAAATATATGTGAAGGTTCATTAAGGCTCGAGTTGGGTGGAGTTAGAATAAATTTTTCTGAGAAAGCCAAAAATCTAGGATTAATTATAGACCAATCACTTAGATTCAAAGACCATATTAAAATGTTACTTCAAAGATGTTATGTAAGAATACGTATGTTATATGTCAACAAGCATATCTTGAACTTCAAAATGCGTAAACAACTTTGTGAGTCTTTGGTTCTCTCAGTTCTAAACTACTGCATTACAGTTTATTACCCTTGCATTGATAAAACCTCACAAAACCAGCTTCAAAGTGTACAAAACACATATCCTTTAACATTAATGAACTTAAGTGGTTAAAAGTTAACAATTTATTTCAGCTACATTTTCTAACTTTCTTGTACCGTTTATTTAAAAATAGGATTCCTTCATACTTGTTTGAAAAGGTAATTTTTAGAAATGCCGTCCACAATTGTAACATCCGATTTAATACTCTTACAATGCCACACCATTCTACTGCACTGTTTGAGCGTTCTTTTACCTATAATTTAGTTAAGTTTTATAATTTGTTTCAGCATCTTATGTATCTCTACCTTCAATTAACAATTTTCGTTACACTATTAAAAATATTCTCCTTAACAGGCAATAAATAATTGTTTTCTGAACATTTAATTTAAATTCTATTTTATATTTTTTACTTAATTACTATTGTTTGACAACTCTTTCAATGCTTTTGTCCTTTTTTAACTACTTTTTTCATTTTTTCATTTATTTATTTTCATTTTCTTTTATAAACCAAGAAGGTTAAGAGTTAAAGAGTAGCTTCAGCTAATCTTCGCCTTCTTGGTGCAAATGTAATGTAATAATTTATTTAATAAAGACATTATTATTATTATTATTATTATTATTATTATTACATTATTTGTCTTTTATTTTACTTCAGTTCCGTTATATTTGTTATTATTCTTGAAAATTTCGCTAATCTGTCCTCTGCCTTCTTTCTTACGTATTTAACATTGTCAAAATATCATTTTGTAACCCACTACGGCTTCCAACTTAATTTTCTTCTGGTATTATATTTCGGCCCTACTAACCCTAAACTGTTTCCCCTAAACAACGACCTGGTCCGTTGGAAATTACTTATCTTTAATTATATCAGATGAATAGATTGTGTATTATAAAATAGTTAATTAGTTAGTTACTCTATTAAAGTCATAAACAGTTCTATTTATTATTATGCAATCTTTGGCGAAAGAAAATAACTTGAATTGAATTAAATTATATTGATATAATATAATAATTATAGAGAAAGTTTACTAAGATACACCTATTTATTCGGTTTTTGAAAATTTCCTTATTTTATAGTCAAAATTAATATTTATCATATGTAAAACCATTCTCAAAAATTATTTCTGGGACATCGTCATAGTCACATATGCCGTTAAGATTAAACTCTTCAAAGGTAGGTGATCTGAAATGCTAATTAATTTTTTATTTTTTAAAAATTTATAATTATGCACGATTTTGTGGGTTGGCCCCACTTTTATATGCAATGGATGGCACCTATAAAACCCGAAACAAAAGTTGAATATGTGATTTGTTCGTTTGTGTGTGGTACGTGTAAACAGTGAAAATGAGACAAATAGTGTTAGTGTTGTTTTTTATATCATGTGCTTATGCACAAGATGATTTTGGAAGTACCGGTGTTCGGGTAGCTATAAAAATTTACGACGACTGTTCAAAATCTAACGATTTTATGAGGTGCTTGAAGATGAAAGCTGTCACTTTAATAGAAAGATTTGGCCGAATGGATAGTTTAGCTCTTGCAAACGGAGTTGTAGTTATGAGAACTCCCGATGCACCTAAAGATGAACCTGAACTTACTGAAGAACAAATAGACCAAACCTTAGAAAGATCGTCAGACGCCAAAGATGCAACCCTCAACAAACTGCTTATGGAGAAAATAAGTCATTTTATTGGTTCGAGATCCATTCAGGTCACTTTACCGAAAATATCTGTATCAAAGCTTATCGAAGAAGGTAATCAAAAATATAGATTCACTTTAACTTTATGGAAATCCGCTTTTCTGTTTTTTCTAAACCTTTTTAAAACTTCTGGTAATAGAGGACGAGAAGTAACATTTTTTGATATCGTCTTGTCAGCAATCAGATTTTAGCTAGGCTTTTGACAAAGTGAGAGTCGGTCTTTTCACCTTTTGAAAAATAGACAGTTTTTATCACCCAAATTATTTAAAAAGTATTTTTTTTTCTTTTATACAAAACTAGCTGGTAGATAACTGGCCTTATATGAAGTTCCTGATAAAGTAGTTATAACAAATGGATTACTAAGTAAATATTTTTTCTCTTGAAAAGACGGAAACCTTATCATCTTTCAGTTAGTAACTCTAAGATGTAGTAAATAGTTTAAATGAGCTTCTTTATTAACTCCATCTTGTGACAACTTGGTCTACTGATATTTACATGTTTTAGTAATGGCTTTAAAAGATATTTTAGTTTTTTCTATGATTTATAGGTCTCATACAAAATAAGATCAGTTCAGAGCTATTTTAATTTACAATCAGATATCAATCATCTTTTTACAAATACTGCAAACAAATGCAGCTCTCATCATTAAATATGTAGAGGTAAATAGAGAGGATCTTTAACAGTAAATTAAATTTAAATCTACGTATTGATACTTTGTAAATAAATGTTTTTAACTAAGAATTATAGAGAACCTATAACGCATCTATTATCTTCACCTCTTTCATTAAGTAATTGAATTCTTTTGATTTTTAGGTCGGAAGGGAGACTTCGACTTCGGATTTGGTGGCCATGGGCACGAAAAAAAAGGTAAAGGAAAAGGAAAGAAGAAAGGTCACGACAAAGGCGGCTTGATGAAGGGAATGATGATGTCAATAGCAGCAAAAATGATAGGCCAAATTCCTCTATTCATCTTCGGTCTCCTAATATTAGCCAAAAAAGCTCTCATTAGTGCTAAAATTGCACTTCTCATATCTGGAATCATCGCTCTCAGTAAATTGTTGGCGTCTAAACGAAGTGGTGGAGGTGGAGGACATGGAGGCGGCGGTTCTACCATCGTCGAATATGGGGCCGGTGGAGGTTGGCAACAAGGAGGCGGTGGAGGTGGCTGGCAGTACGGAGGTGGTGGAGGTGGATGGGATCGAGCGCAAAATTTGGCTTACAAAGCTCAAATCCCAAAAGTTAATTGAATTAGACAATTAAGTTTATATTTAACAGTTTTGTAGTAATATGTTTAACTGATATTCAGTATTTACCAACTTATTTAGGAGAACTGGTATTAGCTCAAATTGCTTGAGTTTCCTGTTATTTATTGTTAATATTTATTTATGTTATTGTTTGTCCAATGATTTTTAGCTACTTGCAGGTAGTAATTATGAACTGGTTTTTATTTAAAATGAAAAAGAGTACTTTAAAAAAATTAGTTTTATTTAACCTTTGCCTGTTTTAGTTGCAATAAACATGTTGTAGTCGAAAGTGTTGAGGCGCTTAGTATTTAATATTACCTTCTTTTTATTTATCATAGTATATAAAAAATGTTGTCAGATATAATTTCATATAATGTTCAGCCAGAACCGTTAAATTTAAATAATTGAAATAAATTCGACCATTTATTAGTCATTATGAATAAACATTCTCTTCAAATACAGTCAGTAGCAAAAACTGCCCTCCTTTGAATTTTGCCTGTTACCGTGATAGGAAATAAAAATCCATTAAAACTTTCGCTCATGGATAGTAGTCTTGCTAAAAAAGTGGGAGTAGAAGGTAACATCGATCTGCTGAAGATGTTTTCGACAAATTCAACATCATTTACCGACAACCTTTCAAGAATAATAAATGTGAAAATTCAGGGAAACCTTAATAACATTTATGAACTTTTAATCTTCGTATTGTACCGAATTTAAATCTTCCCACTCAGTCTGTAAACGTTAAAAAACTTTCAACAAAATGGCCTCATCTTTCACAAATTCCCATTGCTGATATTCTACAAGCAAAACCATTATTACTAATCGGGCAAGATCATATCGATCTAACCATTGTTAGAGAGTTAACTCAAGGTCCAGTAAATGCCCCAGTTGTGTCCAAAACCAAATTAGGGTGGGTAATTCATGGTAACCTTTCCTACATCAAATACAGAATCGAGCCTGAATTTTATGTGTACTGTAAATAAAAACGATAACGAAATCAAAGAACTAGAAGACCTAATACGACAAAGTTTAATTATTGACAATTTAGGCATTAGTAGTGAAGACAAAAAAGTGTTTTCCGATGACGACAAGTTTTTTTATTATGGAAAAAACCTGCAAACAGTTAGAAAATCGCTATTGGTTTACTAAGGAAAAACGAAAATCCTTAGCTGCCAGAAAACCGAAGTTGCTTTAAAAAGATTTTATACCATCGAAAGACAGATGGACAAAGATGACTTATGTGCAGAAAAATACTGCAACAAATAGATGCATTTGTAAGAACAGGATATGCAATCCTTACCGCCGAAGAAGCTGCAGTTGTCACAAATAAAACTTGGTTAGCATCCCAGCAAGCCCGAAAAATTTTGTTTTGTTTTTGACGCCAGAGCCAAAGTAGAAGGAACCAATTTAAATCAAAATTTGTTCAGGGGTTCTGATTTGTTAAATTCTTTAATACATATTTAATTCAATTTTCTCCAAAATCCAGTAGCTGTGTTAAGTGACATCTAAGTACAAATAATACCAGAAGATTAATTTTCTCAACGATTTCTGTAAAGGGGAAGAGATAGAAAAGGTCCTGTGATTACTTACCAAATGCAGATTATGATTTTCTGTGCAATTTGTTCTCCAAGCTGCGTAATTTACGTTATCAACAAAAACGCCAAAAAATATGCCAAAGAATATCCTCAAGCAACAGAAGCACTTGAAAAATTTCACTATATGGATGATTACTTGGATAGTTTTGAAACAGAGGAACACGCTATAAAAACAGTTAATGAAATCATTAATATTCATAAACGTGGCGGGCTTAAAATGAGAAGGTGTCTCAGCAATTCTCTCATAGTTATGTATGTTATAGTAATATAAAAATAAGTAAGCAAAAACTTGCGGTACACCGTGACTTCTTTCTGGCTGAGAAAAATTCTAGTAAAGGGTTTCCTACTATCTCTGCTTCGGCGTACAAATCGAACTGCCTGTCATAAAGGTTGCTAACCCGTTACACGAATACTAGCTAGTCACAAGAAATACTAGTCCGTCACAGGAACTACTGGCGCGTACCAAGAAGTGTTGGCCCTTCACAAGAAATATAGGCCCGTCACAAGAAGTGTCAGCCCGTCACAAGAACCCTAAAGAAAACGTGTAAGATAAAACACAGATATAACTATTTATCCCTGGTTAATAAAGTTAAAATTAAATAACAAGGTACCTACAAAGCTTTCTCTTTAAGCGAGATCTAGAAATAGGTAGTAACTACTCAACGTTAACTAGTTAAATTAAGTTCGGCTTATTAATTTATGTAGGTAATCTTCAGATTTACAAAGCAACAGGATAGACAGCTTGTGAAGCGAGTTCTACCCAACAATTACATTTAATAGGCAAATTACACCCTTAGATTTTAAAATACTACCTCTTAATAGTCAATCCCATGTACTGAAAATATATACAACGAAAAGAAACATAACTTAGGGTTATAATCGTCTAGGTAAGCATACTAACTAAAATCAAAACATATTTACCCACAGCAGCAAGGGGCACACGAAATCACCAATTTCGTGGACAGCTTATTCAGAAAAGATTACATATATATATATGTGGGCACTGAAATAGAGGACAAATGGCTTTACAAAAAGAATTACTACGTCGTAAGCTAAATGCTAAACAAAAAAACTCACCTATGAGATTCAACACGTGGTTAAGTATATCCTCCTAAAAGAGCCCTTACAACATGTGGTCACCAAAAATACAACCAAATCACACTGTTGTAACTTTAAACAAAAGGTTGTTTCGCAATATCCCAATTATAGATTGGAAAATAGTTCCAATAAATTTCGAAACAGTACCTTCACAAATCCACGTGAATGTATCTCCAAATTCTAAGAAAAAAGAAACCGACGTCACTTAAAAAAAAACTAGTAATACCAACATACCTTAGTGACAAATAGGTGTCCTATCAGCGCCCTCTATTACAAAATAAATTCTTGACAGAAAGGACTAAAATAACCAATCAAAGCCTCTGAAACCTATCTACCCCCAACTGATCATACACCCACAATTACCATCAGGGCGGAAACGCTAGACCGACATCTTGAATACAGGGCAGCCACCTACTCGCCCAGAGTGTCGCAGAAAAACCCCTGAATCTATGGAAAAAAATCCCGCGAAGAAACGCCTTCGACACTCAGCTGATAGAAATCCGGTCGCTAGTCGATTCAAAAGCAAGTGGTTTAAATGCGGGTATAAAAGGACCCATTTATTAATTACTGAACACGTACAAAAACAAATGTATTCCCATTTTAATGAAAAACCGCTATAAGGCCAAATCTAAACGTTACAATATTCTATTTTGTATCAGTTTTATGTATTACAGTTAAAATCCCACAATGTATCTATCTATCTATTCTATAAATATTTCTTAACTAATTTCAGAAAATTTTATTTTACAGATTTTGAAATCCTTTATAGAGTATCTGGTATTCCAATTGTACTAGTTGGTACCAAAAATAGTACAAAACGGCACTGTTTTTATTTATTATTCTGTATCGTTAACATCTGAGTAGATTTCGTCCTTTGTAGTGAGAATATTTAATGAAGCTCACTCGTATATTTCGAGAACAACTTTTTGTATGTCCATTAACGTTCGGCAGTGTAACAGTACGGCTAAAAGAATACATAAAAAACGATACAGACTAACCACCAGGTCACTCAACATCACAATGTCGATCTTCTTAATCTCATTTGAATAATTATTGAAAAAGAATGCCAGTGAAATCAAGACCATTCACAATACATGTATTTGCAATTATCTTGCTATAGTATAGAGGATGGGATGAAAAATTTCCAGCTTTGTCTATAATGGATTAATGTTATTTTCTTGTTTTGATTTTCTTGGGTTGTAGATGTTTAAAATGAACTGCAGGTTCTTCTTTTTGTTAAATGGTAAATTCCTTAGTATTTTTATTTTTTCAGTCTGTATTACTTTCTATACATTGGTATTATTTTTTAGTTACGTAATCAGTTTCTGTATTGTTTCTTTTTTTATATAAAATAACTATATTATGCATAATTTAGGTATTTTTCATATCAATTAGTTTAAAATTATTGTGGAGTGTCTGCAACAACAAAGAACACAATTTTTCCAATATTAAACTTCTGGTTATTTAATCTATACATTAATTATATATATATATATATATATATATATATATATATATATATATATATATATATATATATATAGGTCATATAATAAATAATTTTAATATGTACGAAGTGCGTTTTACCTTTTTGGCAGGAGCTCTCTTTCTATGTTCTTTTCTCTCGCGCACAAACTGGGCCCGTAAGTGACCCGTAACCATATATTCTTCTAGACTATGGGTGATATAACTGCTTCCCCTAAAGATCCAGATTCGGAGGGCTAACGAAGAAGATGGACTTCTTGTAGGTTGAAACTTTCTTTTGTCCCTCTTGGATTTTCCTTAAGGTTTTCCATATTTTAAATTGATATAAAATAAGGATGGAAACTAATATAATATAAATAATAATAGTCCATGGGCTTGGTACATATGGAATGGTTTTGGATTCGACATTTGGTTGATTTTGAAATACCTATGTTTTCTCGTAGAGTTTGAAGGTCATACAGATTGATGGGTTGCAATTCGACGTTGAGAGTGGACCATTCTTTTTCGGCAATTTGGTCGTCCATTTTTGGAAATAGAATAGGTTGATTCTCGAATGAATTTGACTCAGCATTAACAATGGTTTCTTCCTCAGTTATAATTTAAAAATTTGTGGGAATTACTGTTAGGAAGGTTCCAAACAGCTTAATTATTATTAATCATTTCTTTGGGTAGGACCAAAATCCATTGATTTGTTTGTTCTACCTCGTGAAAGAAGGGCATGATATGGCTATGGATACTTGTGGGCATGTAAAGGTGGTTTCGTAGTTTAGAAGTTGGATCTTGCAGGAGCTGTTCTGATTTATTTTTCTGAGACTGGTTGGGTCA